ATTGTCATAATCGTGTGTTTATTAGTCACGTTGAATCAATAAAAGCAGTTATATCTTCTGTTTATCCAGCTACCGCTAATAAGCATTTCCTGGCTTTCTTCTGCGAGGCGTATTTGGAGTTTCAGCGCGAGAGCGCCCTCTGGCCTTTGGATGGAGATTTACTGCTGATCACAGAACTGTGCTTCACTGAAAGATACGCATGACAATCGCAGCTTCTGTCGAATCGCAATTTCGATTCCATTTCGATTTATCGTGCAGCCCTACTACAGAGGATCCATTGGTGAGCAAGTGCTGTAACGCTAAATTTCTCTAAATCTGCTCTTGAATGGCTTGAGGGTGAGTGAATTTCCAGCAAGTTTTCATTTTTGGGTAAACTGCTCTTTTAAGACAGATTCCACAAATGCGGTTTGGGATGATGGTGTTAAAGGCCGAGCTGAAGTCCACGAACAGGATCCTCACATAAGTCCCTGGTCTGTCTAGATGTTGCAGAACATAATGCAGTCCCATGTTTACTGCATCGTCCACAGACCTGTTTGCTCTGTAGGCAAACTGAAGAGGATCCAGCAAGGGTCCAGTGATGTCCTTCAGGTGGGCCAGCACCAGTCTTTCAAAAGACTTCATGACCACAGACGTTAGAGCCACAGGTCTGTAGTCATTAAGTCCAGTAATTTTGGGTTTCTTTGGGACGGGGATGATGGTGGAGCGTTTGAAGCATGAAGGGACTTCGCACAGCTCCAGTGATCTGTTGAAGATCTGTGTGAAGATGGGGGCCAGCTGGTCAGCACAGGATTTCAGACAGGCTGGTGTAACACAGTCTGGGCCTGGTGCTTTTCTCCTTTTCTGCTTCCGGAAGACCTGGCTCACCTCTTCTTCGCTGATCTGAATTGCAGGTGTGGGGGAGAGGGGGGTTGCTGGGGGTGTGAATGGTTGTGTGGAGAGGGGTTCAGGGCGGGGGGGGGGTGGGTTTTCAAACCTGCAGTAGAACTCGTTCAGATCGTCTGCCAGGTGTTGATTCTCCGCAGTGCTGGGGGATGGTGTCTTGTAATTGGTGATTTCTTTTAGACTTTTCCACACTGATGCCGAGTCACTGGAAGAGAATTTAATCCTTATTTTTTCTGAATAATTCCTCTTTGCCACTCTGATCTCCTTTTCCAGTGTGTATTTAGCCTGTTTATACAAGACATTATCCCCCTTCCTGTGAGCATCTTCTTTGGCCTGACGGAGCTGTCTGAGTTTTGCAGTGAACCATGGTTTGTCATTGTTGTAAGTTAAGTGAGTCCTGGTAGGAATGCACATGTCTTCACAGAAACTGATATAAGATGTTACAGTCTCTGTGAGCTTGTCCAGATCGGTGGCAGCAGCTTCAAAGACGCTCCAATCAGTGAGGTCAAAACAAGCTTGTAAGTCCTGCTCTGCTTCATTAGTCCATCTTTTTACAGTCCTTAATACAGGTTTAGCTGATTTCAGTTTCTGCCTGTAGGTCGGTATAAGATGAACCAAGCAGTGATCAGAGAGCCCCAAAGCTGCTCGTGGGACAGAGTGATATGCATTCTTTATTGTGGTGTAACAGTGATCCAATATATTACTGTCTCTGGTGGGACATGTGATGTGCTGTCTGTATTTTGGCAGTTCACGGGAGAGATTGGCTTTATTAAAGTCCCCGAGAATGATTAAAACAGAGTCCGGGTGTTGTTGTTCTGTGTCTGTGATCTGATCAGCGAGTTTCTGTAAAGCGGGGCTCACGTGTGCTTGCGGAGGAATGTAAATACTCACGAGAATGAACGAGTGAAACTCCCACGGCGAATAGAACGGCTTGCAGTTAATGAAGAGCACTTCTAGATCTGAACAGCACATCTTCTTTAACACAGTTACATCTGTACACCACCTCTCATTGATGTAAAAACATGTCCCACCGCCGTGTGATTTCCCCGTTGATTCTGCGTCGCGGTCCACTCTGAACAGCTGAAAGCCCGGCAGACTCAACGCGCTGTCCGAAATGGCGTCTTTCAGCCAGGTTTCCGTGAAACACAGAGCAGCAGAGTTTGAAAAATCCTTATTTGTCCGGGAGAGCAGAAGAAGTTCGTCCATTTTGTTGGGTAAAGAGCGGAGGTTCGCCAGATGGATGCTAGGCAACAGCGTTCTGAATCCGCGCTGTCTGAGCTTCACGAGCGCGCCAGCTCGCTTCCCCCGTCTGCGCGTCCTGAAGCGCTTGATCAGCGCAGCAGCTCCCCCGACAACAATGTCCAGCAAAACATCCGAAAACCAGTGAAATATCGGGTGGTGTGTACTTCCGAATGTCCAGCAATTCGTCTCTGGTGAAACTGATTTCAGGGATATATCAGTTGTTGACAAACTAACAAAAACATAAAAACGAGGCACAAAAACGAGATGAGGCATATTTATTTAGCTACTTTTTATATGTATATTTAGGTTTTAATCAAGAGGCAATTTCTATTTATGTACTATTATTTTACCTTTCCTCCATGTTCATTTTTCTTTATTTTAGTTACAGATAACTAGGATTAGGTTAGGGTTTCGGTCTGTTTAAGGGTGATTGCTCCTTTCTTTGTGCTCATTGTGTGGTCTAAAACACCAGACAGTGTTTGTGAACCCCTCTTCTCCTCTTGCTCCCCTTGTTGCCTTTTTCCTCATCATCCAACTTTTACTGAGCTTCATTTGAGATCCTCGATTATTTCATTTGCATGAATGTCTTTCTACCGTTGGATGTGGTAAGACTGCAAACCATAAGAGCAGAGATGTCTTCACTCCTGTGCCAGCTTTCATAGAGGACTATGATAATAACTGTGATTTTAAATGCTGCTTGTGAATGTTCTACATATCCTTATCAGTAACTGGGTGCATGATTCACTTTTATCAGCTCCATATGCACTTTTAATTAACTGGCATGGTCTACTATTTACTCCTCTCTAAGAGTTTGGTATACGATAACAGAAAAGAGATTAGTAATGGATCATTCCAGTGAAGTATTGCTAAGTGAGTTGCTGCATGTCTGTCCAAGAACGTTCTGTAGGTTGTTACAGTAAAACAGCAATGTTTTTATTGTTCCCTTTTAATATGCATGGCGGTTTCAAACATGTTCTTACTGCATTCTTCTGTGTTCAGTATGCTTGTACAAACCCGATTCCAAAAAAGTTGGGACACTGTACAAATTGTGAATAAAAACAGAATGCAATGATGTGGAAGTTTCAAATTTCAATATTTTATTCAGAATACAACATAGATGACATATCAAATGTTTAAACTGAGAAAATGTATAATTTTAAGGGAAAAATAAGTTGATTTTAAATTTCATGGCATCAACACATCTCAAAAAAGTTGAAACAAGGCCATGTTTACCACTGTGTGGCATCCCCTCTTCTTTTTATAACAGTCTGCAAACGTCTGGGGACTGAGGAGACAAGTTGCTCAAGTTTAGGAATAGGAATGTTGTCCCATTCTTGTCTAATACAGGCTTCTAGTTGCTCAACTGTCTTAGGTCTTCTTTGTCGCATCTTCCTCTTTATGATGCGCCAAATGTTTTCTATGGGTGAAAGATCTGGACTGCAGGCTGGCCATTTCAGTACCCGGATCCTTCTTCTACGCAGCTATGATGTTGTAATTGATGCAGTATGTGGTCTGGCATTGTCATGTTGGAAAATGCAAGGTCTTCCCTGAAAGAGACGACGTCTGGATGGGAGCATATGTTGTTCTAGAACTTGGATATACCTTTCAGCATTGATGGTTCCTTTCCAGATGTGTAAGCTGCCCATGCCACATGCACTCATGCAACCCCATACCATCAGAGATGCAGGCTTCTGAACTGAGCGCTGATAACAACTTGGGTTGTCCTTGTCCTCTTTAGTCCGGATGACATGGCGTCCCAGTTTTCCAAAAAGAACTTCAAATTTTGATTCGTCTGACCACAGAACAGTTTTCCACTTTGCCACAGTCCATTTTAAATGAGCCTTGGCCCAGAGAAAATGCCTGTGCTTCTGGATCATGTTTAGATATGGCTTCTTTTTTGACATATAGAGTTTTAGCCGGCAACGGCGAATGGCACGGTGGATTGTGTTCACCGACAATGTTTTCTGGAAGTATTCCTGAGCCCATGTTGTGATTTCCATTACAGTAGCATTCCTGTATGTGATGCAGTGCCGTCTACGGGCCCGAAGATCACGGGCATCCAGTATGGTTTTCCGGCCTTGACCCTTACGCACAGAGATTGTTCCAGATTCTCTGAATCTTTGGATGATATTATGCACTGTAGATGATGATAACTTTAAACTCTGCAATTTTTCTCTGAGAAACTCCTTTCTGATATTGCTCCACTATTTTTCGCCGCAGCATTGGGGGAATTGGTGATCCTCTGCCCATCTTGACTTCTGAGAGACACTGCCACTCTGAGAGGCTCTTTTTATACCCAATCATGTTGCCAATTGACCTAATAAGTTGCAAATTGGTCCTCCAGCTGTTCCTTATATGTACATTTAACTTTTCCGGCCTCTTATTGCTACCTGTCCCAACTTTTTTGGAATGTGTAGCTCTCATGAAATCCAAAATGAACCAATATTTGGCATGACATTTCAAAATGTCTCACTTTCAACATTTGATTTGTTATCTATATTCTATTGTGAATAAAATATAAGTTTATGAGATTTGTAAATTATTCCATTCCTTTTTTACTCACAATTTGTACAGTGTCCCAACTTTTTTGGAATTGGGTTTGTATATTATCCCACTGATGTTAGCTAGATCATTTTACTGTATAGGAACATGCATTTGTATCAAGTGTGATTAGCATTTTTATCAGTATTTTATGTTGATATGTAGTTTTAAGATGCTGTCTCACTTTAAGAAGTAATCGCACTGTATATAATATTGTCATATAGGATATATATATGAGGATATAGATTAGGCTAAGCGTGCTGCGGTCTCTTTTGGGCTTTAGATGTCCATTGGTTTCAGTGTGTAGCAGAAGCTTGCCCTCTCCTGTGTTTCAGATGGTTATGGAGGACGGGACCAGCGGTCTCCAGACTACTATGAGTCAGAGCCAGAGGACTTGTCCCGAATTTTTGTGGCCATGTTTGACTATGACCCCCTGTCAATGTCTCCTAACCCTGATGCTGCTGTAGAGGAGCTTCCCTTCAAGGAGGGCCAGATCATAAAGGTTTGATTTGAACTGAGTGATGTCAAGCAATTCTCAGCAGTCGTTTAATTTCATAGCTTGTTTTTCATTTCTTTCCACTTTTTAAGACTTTGTTTCTACTCTATTTAAGGATGCATCGATTCAGATAATTGATCATTATATTTATGTACTAATATACCAGTTTAATTGCCAATAGTTAAAAGTAGTGATTATTAAATTATATAATATAATATAATATAATATTAAATTATTAATATAAATGTGTCAATACCGTATATATTCAATATTGTTTATTACTATAACTATATTATACTTTTTATGAATTCTATATAATAAATAAATGAAAATAAATATTTATTTATATGATGATAATAAGAATTATTAATTCATTTTTTACATTGTGCTTTCATAATTGTATATTATAAATTCTATTCTGGTTTCTATTCTATTCTATTTAGGGATGCACCGATACAAAAAAAGTTGATACCAGTTGTTGATGATATTTAAGTGTTTTTTGTCCAAATTAAAAATACTGATTATTTATACATGTATAATTTATATTATAATTCTAATTTTAAAATTCTAATATTATAATTATAGTATAATTCAAATATTAATTTAGCAATATGTAATGATTATATAATCAATAGTAATTTTTACATTTATTTTTATGCATATAAATATTTATATGGATTTATAATTAATAATATTTTAATGTTAAAAACACATTAATTCATTAATAATTTTATACATGACTAATTGTATACAAATATTTTATTAAATTATATTGTTTGATTCTATGCACCAATACAGAAGTTTTGACTGATAAAATAGTTGATAATTATATTTATATATTTATGTAACAATATAGTTGCCAGTATTGAAAAAAATACTGATTATTAAATTGTTCTTTTTATTGTTACTTTACTGTATATCTATACATATGTATATGGCTTTATAATGATTTATAATTATCTATTTTATATAAAAATGTGTGCATTGCTAGTTATATATTCTAAGTTCTGTTCTGTTCAAGTGCTAGTCTAGTGCAAGTCAGTTCATTGCCATCTTGCCATTTCAGTGTTAATAATATCTTCTGTTTGCAGTGGCCATTTTCATTTATTTAATTACCAGACACTTTCATCCAAAGTGACATACAAATGAAAATAATACAAGCATAAGTGAATAATCCATACCAAATTGAGTAGAGCAGTAGTGCAAGACATTAGAGAGAGTGTAATTAAAAAGGCAATGAAATGAGTTCAATTATGGCCCTGCTGTGTTGTCCAGGTTTTTGGAGAGAAGGACACAGATGGATTCTATAGGGCAGAGATCTGTGGCCGCAGGGGGCTCATCCCCTGTAACATGGTCTCAGAGATCCAGACGGATGATGATGACATGATGGACCAGCTGCTCAAACAGGGGTTTCTTCCTCTCAACACGCCCATTGAGAAAATAGGTATGATATGAACTAACAGGTAGTTTGTGCTGAACCCTGTCCATCTCACCCCTATATGCTTCATTTTCTGACTATTCTCTTTCTTTCTGATTTAAGATTTAACATGGTGCTAGTCTGTAAGTTGTCTACCTTTTCCATACTATTCCTTACAGCATACAGTATAACTCTTAAAGGGATAGTTCACCAAAAAATGAAAATTCTATCATCACTTATGTTGTTCCAAACTCGTATGACTTTTTTCATCTGGGGAAAATAAAAGGAATCATAGCAGAATATCAAAGATGGATTATTCCTTTAAATCCTATGCCTTCCTTGCCTTCATTCTTTCCCCTCTCTCTTTCATTTCTTTCTTGTTTTCCTCTTTTCTTTTCAAGTAAACTGTAATAGGTTCAAAGATGGCCGTTCAGTTAATCGCAGGTCCCGGAAATCCAAGAGAGGTTTGTGCCCACAAAATTTTTCCACCAGTTTTCTCATTCAAATCTTTCTTTTCTTTTCCACTTAAGTGCCTTTTCACAGCTCACCTCCATGTTGCCCTTCAACACTTGAATGTCACACAAGCATAAGTTATTCTTTCTGTTCTCACTGACACCTCATAGAGGGAATAATGCAGATTGAACAGTGGAGTCCACAAGTCTGAAACTGCTCTGAAAATGGTTCTGTTTTATATTTTAGAGCATCTTGAGCTATAAGTAGGAACATCTGACTGAGTTTATACTGAGTTCACGTGATCAGTGTCATGCTTTTACTTTTGATTTCTTTGTTTACATTTTTTTCTCAAACTCTATTTCTTTTCATTTTCAATGTGAATTTTTCAATATGCTGTAGACTCAAACTTTTGGACCCTACAGCTCAGAATAGTGGACATTTGGATTTGATATTGATAACTTGTCTACTAAATGTGCCTTCTGTTTTTTCATGACTGCATTCTAGAAAAAGTTCTGCATGTGCCAGCGAAGAATTTGTATAATTTATTGTCGTTCAAATTTATGATAATAAATATTAAATGCCATTGGTTGTCAATGTTGCTGTATTGGCTTTAGTATAAAGTATTTTAACATTGAAAAGAAAAAACACTTGATAATATGCAATTCTATGTAATTCTATGCAATACATAGACATTCTATGCAATATGTATGTCTTGATGTCATTATTACAACAAGGCCTGCTGTCATTCATAAATCATGCTCTTTTTTGACATATTGTTTCATTTTAACATTTTAATCATCAAAGAGTACTTTGGTTTTCTTTCTCTTCCGTATTTATTGCTTATTTATTTGTTTTGCTCATTTATTCTTAACCTCTTTTTTCCAGAAAGGAACAAAAGGAGTGGAAGGCAGCACCAGGTGTCGACGCGGAGGATGGTGGCCCTGTATGACTATGACCCCAGAGAGAGCTCGCCTAACGTGGATGTGGAGGTACTAATAGACTCCATTTTGCCCTGGCTTTTTCCTGTGCTTACGGTCTCATCCCATAAGCTTTTGATTTTACGCTGGCTTGCCTGGATGTCTGCCTTTGTAATAGCCACCAAATTCATTTTCTGCCTATTTTCCTTGCTTTTGGGGCAACAGTGGGGTTTGTGTTTTAATTGTTACTGTTCATTCAGATGGCACATGACAGCTCTAAATGTTAAGTTCTGGTTAAAAAGAAAATGAAAGTTCTGTCATTATTTACTCACTATTACTGTACGTCATTCTAGTCCTGTGTGACTTTCTTCTGTGAACCTATCCTTTTTAAAGTTGAAGTGTGTAATTTCTGTGCCAAACAGAATTGAAGAATTCCTGTTTTAAAACAGGATTCCCCCAAACTCCCCCTTTCTGCCAGTTATGTGCACAGTGCACAGTTTTAATATTATTTTTACATTATTATAGTATTATTAATATTTTAAATTAGCTTTATTTTATTATTTTTTTATATATTTTCAGATTTATTTTTTATTGTAATTTAGTTTTTAGTAAATGTATATTTTCTGTCATTTTGTTTAGTTTTTTAATATTTGTATTAGGGCTGCACGATTATGACAAACATCATAATTGTCGATTATTCCCTTGACATTGTAATTGCGATTTATTAATTACGATTATCACAATTTACATTGAATGATGTTCATACCATTGTTTGATGCAACTGCATGTCATATTTTTATATGAAAATAAACAAGCTGAAAACACTCTAACTGAAAACCCTTTAGTGCTTTTCTATAGTATTAAGCCTCAAATGTCAAATATACATCGGATTGGTTTCTTCTTTAAATTATAAAAAAGTAAAAATATGAATGGTATTATAATGTTATACTAAAACTAAAACAATGGAAAAACCCTTAAGATAACATGTAGAAAGAAAAAAAACATATCTTAAGCGTGCAGAATAACCTAAGTGGACTTTGAACAATTAATTGCCGTTTTGAACGATTACGTAATTGTGGCATCCATAATTGTAATTGCGATTAGAAATTCGATTAATTGTGCAGCCCTAATTTGTATTTAGCTTTATTTTTGTTTCAAATTTTTAGTAATTTTAGTACTGGTATTTAAGTATTTATTTCAGTTAGTTGCCAAAGCAACATTTCTAATTTTAGTATACATTTTTAAAGTTTACGTTTTTCATCTAATATTTATATATTTATATTTCAGATTTATTTTACTTACTGAAAACTATTTTTAATCATTTTAGTTCTAGAAAGCAGTAACATCACTGGTCCGTCATTGTTTGGAAAACAAATAGTCCCACTCCAACAACTTTACCTATAAAGTTATGCACTTCTGAATGTATCCTTCAGAGGGCATCAGAATAGAATAACCTCAAATTGAAAGATTCATGTTGCCATCCTGACAACCAGGTCTGCTGTCATCCATAAATCATACTGTGCTTTTCAACATATTTACTTGGTTTTAGTGTAATTGTACTTCATGTAAGATTCTAATCATAAAAAGCATCTACAAAAAAACAGCAATGTAAAAAAACTATGCATATAAAAGCACATTGAAATGTGTCCTTAGTAGTAATGCCCATCAAATTCATCCAGTTCATTTCCAATTCTATAAAAAACATAATAATAAATCTCACAGAACAGACAAGGTTACATCAGCTACAGCTAATAATTATATATGATGATTAGCATTTTCAAGTCTTTTACATTCCATTGTCACTTACTGTCACCTTTGCATTGCCGCTGGCACACAGGCCCGCTATGGGGGCAGCTTGCAGAGTGAGGAGGTGAGTGTGGAAGGAAGTAGTGAGTCTACACTCACTGGGCCTGTGCCAAATGACACTCTATTTCCTGCTGAGGGAGCTCACTGCACTGCATCAGCACCTGTACTGTCTGTGGACATCTCACTTACGGGACCCAAAGATCATAATGCACGTGCAATACATTTGCATTTCATACTGAATGTGTTTTAAAGCCTTCATAATTTGCTCGATGAATGATTCTCTAAGGAAATAAGCATAACGAAACGCTTTATATTCTGTGATGCTTAAGTGAACATTGAATTGAATTCCAAGGTGTATGCATGAACTTATTGGATATCACGAATCATCATAATGCATTTATAAAGGCTTTGTGAAATCTGCTCTGCTGTAAGTGAGTGAGTTCCTATGAAAGGAATAGGGAATGGTTATTTGTGACACTGTGTGTGGTTTTTGCTGCTGTTGTTGGACTGGAGGTAAAGGGTTACACAATCACTGTGGTTTGTGAACACTGCTCCCAGTCTGACAGAGAGGACCTGCCTTGCCCAGTGTTGATCTGTGTGTGTGTGTTTCACAAGTCTGGTGGATGTTGTTTTGGACCTGAACTAGAGAATGTTGCTATAAATTATTGCTATTTCATTTTCATTCTAATAGGGTATGTAGCGATTCTTATAGATATATGATGTTACTTAGGTTTGGTTTTAGGAGTATATAGTTAGACCTAAACCTCATGTAGGTTGAAGGTTTTAATTCTGTCAAAGTTATGTTGTCTTCAATATCTAAATAGCGTGTAAGTGTCCAGAAGTGAGAAAAAGTCCCCTATAGACATGATAGATAGATAGAGAGAGAGAGAGAGAGAGAGAGAGAAAGAAGACTGTGTTCACACTGTGATCTGAATCAGATGGAAACAGAACTGCACTTCCTAACAGAATGCCCCAAATACACAGATATGCGGACAGTGTTCTATGATCAAATACAGCAGATCCATCAGACATTTAAAACTCTTTCAAACCAGGAGAAACTGCCGTATCTGTTAGGAGAACAGAACAGAACAGAGCAGAACAGAACACTCACCCTGCCCTGATCTGATGTTTCCAGCACATCTACATTATATTATGCCAAATTACTGAATTATATTACTTAAATGTATATTTTGCTTCTGTAAATATATCTAATCCCTTATTTTATTTTTATTTCTAGTTTATATAATTACATACATTAGTAATTAATTTTGCACTACATGCTTAATACTTTTTGTATATTATTATTATTATTATTATTACTATTATTATTATTCTTTTTCTTTCTGTTAATACATATGTGTACTATTTGAAAGCAGTCCAGCTGCAATTACTTTGGCAATACATGCCAATAAAGCACTCTTAAATTGAAATTGATAGAGAGAGAGAGAGAGAGAGAGAGGGGCTGATTTATGATTGATTGATCCTTTAAAGTTATTAATACATCAGCATTGTGGTTGTAACTGTTGCATATTAAATGAGCTCTGTGGCAGTTATGAAAGATGACTGAAATCTAACATGTTTGACTTTTTCTGCCCTTCAGGCTGAGCTGACATTTTGTGCAGGTGATGTGATCACAGTTTTTGGAGAGATCGATGAGGATGGCTTTTATTATGTGAGTCAATTATTCACACCATCTCTGTTTTTGGTGCAGACACTGTACTATTCTGCGAATGTGTATTGCAAAACACCTAATGCTGTTCATGTTTGAGTCCTGCTAAAAGTCCTGCTTTTAGCCCTGAACACAGGAGAGCCGCCACACTGGGATTTAGCCTTAGATGCATGATGTCCTCTGTTTTCTATTCAGGGGGAGCTCAATGGACACAAGGGTCTGATCCCTTCCAACTTTCTTGAAGAAGTGCCTGATGACGTGGAGGTTTACCTCACCAACACCCCGAGCCATCACCCCCAGGACCCCCCGTCCCGGACAAAGAACAAAAGGGTACATCCTGTTTCACACTAGCCCTCTGTCATCCATTCGCTCTTTTTTAAATCTCCTTCCTGCTCCGCTGTTTTTTTCCCTCTTCTCCGTCTGTGTGTTGTGTTGTGTGACAGCCGGTTGCTTTTTTGATGGATCGTTGAAGGAAAACAGAAAACAAAAGAGAGGCAGCGTACTAAAGACAGAGGCATACCGTAATATACAAGACTGAGGAACCTTTACTTTTATGTCAGATGTTCTGCGGTGGAGAAATGTGAACTGTTAATGAAATTGCATATTCATAAAGCGTTGTTTGGAAAAGAAGTATTCACACAAAGAGACGTGCCAGATTACTAGTTGTTTATTGTTATTATTTATGGAAAAAGAAGCACTAAAAGACTATTATTTTTTACCTAATTCACAAGTGAGGCATTGTAATAGATGCTTTATGAATGTAACTGTGTTTAAAAGTGAAATCAATTTATAATAGAGGAGATCGTTTTGATGTACAGAGAACTGAAACCATGTAGAACTGTAGAACTGCATGCCTTTTCTTTCAGAATGCTTCGACACCACCGTGAAATTTTTAAGGTGCTTTAACGGATTGAGACCAGATAAAAAAAAAACAACTACAACAACCTTTTTGTATATGTTTCCAAAAGAATTGTTTTTGTATATTGCTGATATATATGACTATGAACTTAAAGAGAGACACAAAACAAATGTTGCAAGTAGAGAGAGTTCAAGAATGATTTTATCTGTAGAAGTAGATATTGTACAATTGTCTGTATAAAAAAAGAAGAAAAGATAAAAAAGAAAATATAATTGCTGATGGATGTTCTGCTCAATCATCAGGACCCATCAAGGTTTTTCTGTACTGAAAGTTTTGTGATTCTTTTCTCATATTCATTGTGCAGACAATTGAAATGCATTGCATCATGGCATTGTTTGTTTTTTTTCCTCACTTGCTTGGCAAAACAGAAGAAGAGTGTTCATTTCACTCCGTAACGGCTCAGTATCTGTCACGTAAGTGAGCAACAGAGGATACCACAAATAACGCTGTCCTCGTCTAATGCACACGACGCGGGTCCTTATTACTGTTGCTCCTGGTATGCACAAAACACACACTTATTACACATTCACACCAACCATTTACACAAAAGATTGATCAAAATTGATCAGACTCACAAAATCATTAAGTTGATGTTTTTAAGTTTGAATGGCTCAAATCACCATTTCAGAATTTACATATGAACTAAAAGTGATTAATTGCATTTTTATTTTAATAAATATTTTATTAATATTTAAATGTTTCATTCATATGTACTGATTAATATTTTTATTATTTACTAATATTTCTAATTTATTCATATATAATTATGTAATTTTTAATGTTTGCAATTTCAATAGTAACATTTTATTTAAAATATTTTTAAAGATCTAAATTGATTAAAATATGTTTATTCTTTAAAAAAGACATTTTGCTTCATTAAAATTACAATCGAATTAATAGCAGTTAAATAGTGTTAAACTGACAGTCTTAGTATGCACGCAAATTCCCTACAGATACATGCACCGACCAAGTTACTCATCAAAACACCCCTATAATTCTAATGGCCTGGAATTACCATGTCATATTTTTTGTGCATCAGTTCACAGTACCACAAGTATGGATGCTCCGAGAGCTGTGATTGGTCCACTGCTGTCAGTGCATTAGACAGGCACAGCTGGTATCTTCAGTTGCTTCTCTGGGTGTTGTCCATTATAATATTCGTCTTTCATTGACTCTTACTGTAAGTCATAAGAAGCTTTAAGGCTATTGTTGCACGGTCAGAATTGGACCCCTGACCCCCTTACCCCCACCCCTTCTCTTCTCTAATGTGTGCAGTTTAGTAGCTTCCTAGTGTAAGCCCTGGGACAAACCCTCTCCTCTCCTGTAGCTGTGCACACTATCATACCACACTGAGCACAAATTCACAATAAATGCTTTTGAAATGAATACTGAAACATTGGCAAGGTCAGCCAGATCATAAAGGTGTGTGTGTGTGATTGGGGTGCACGGTTTCCATGAACTCTTAAGAATGATCAAAAATGTCCAGCAAGCATAAGTATCATTACCCTTATCTATCTAAAGAGTAGATTTTAGTTATATACTGTTTCCTAAACTTGACTGAATTGATTGTTAAGTTTATGCATTCTTGCAGCCACTTTTGTAAATTAAGCTTTTTTAAAGCAGGTTTGATTTGGCTCCAACACCCTTGGTGAAGTTACCATGCTGAAAGGTGATAGATTACTTCAAAAGACTGGTAAATTAAATACTTATCTTCTCTTTTCATTACCATTATAGATTATGTTGCTGTTAGCATAAATATTCATTTAAATGTTGTGTTATGCAACTATACAACTGATATTAAGGGCAAATTATGGCACGTAAAAGATATGTTTTTGCTGTTAAAGTAATAGTTCACCCAAAATGGAAATTTGCTGAAAATGTACTCATCCTCTGGCCATCCAAGATGTAGATGGGTTTGTTTTTTCATCGGAACAGATTTGGAGGAATTTATTTCATTGCATCACTTGCTCACCAATGGATCCTCTGCAGTGAATGGGTGCCGTCAGAATGAGAGTCCAAATAGCTGATAAAAACATCACAATAATCCAGTAATCCATACATCCGTTAACGTCTTGTGTGTCATTACGATGTTTTTAACTTTAAACCATTGCTTCTGGCTATTAATATTACTTTCTCCAGTGAAAAAGTTGTCTAGTCTGACTTTGATGTTTTCCTGACGGCACCCATTCACTGCAGAGGATCCACTGGTGAGCAAGTGATGTAATACTTATACTAATACTAATAATTTCTCCAAATATGTTTTGATGAAGAAACAAACTCATCTACATCTTGAATGGCCTGAGGTTGAGTACATTTTCAGCAAATGTTCATCTCTGGTTGAATTATTCCTTTAAGGAGTTCCTAATTAGATGATTGCCACTAAAACTGAGATTACTGTCATGTCAATGTGTATAAACAGTACATTTCTTATGATTTTTTTGTTGCACGTGCAGTCTGAACAGTTTATTAATATTTTAATGAGAGTTTAGCTAGAATCTGAAGTGAAGCACTTTCACCACATATCATTCATAGATTATTGTTTAGAGCGCCGCCCCCTACTGTCTGGGTGTATTATTCATGATGCAAAATGTACTATTGATTGATAATTGACTGTAAGGTGGCCCTGCTGGGACAGAAAGGACTGTGAGAGGAGATGGAGTGTCTATTGTACAGTAATGACATTGAGATGCTTTAAAAGGCAAAGAAACACCTTCTTTTCTTTTTAAACATCCATCCCTGAACTGTCCCTTGCGGGTCTTCCGTTAGGTTCCCGTGGAAAAAGCGGGCCCTCCCAGAAGAAGTGCCACCCCCACAGTGCGCCTACACATCCCGGGGTCCGGCCCAGGGGCCCGGCAGTCCCATCCGGCGCCCCCGAGCTGACTCTAAGAAAACAGGACTGCTCTCCAAGGGAAAGAATCTATTAAAAAGGCTTGGTGCTGTCAAATAGTTTCACATAACTCTCCTCACAGCAGCCGAGATAAGGAGGTTGGAATTGCAGAGAAATTACCTTAGAAGGTGGGAAAAAGAACATTTCTCCCATCTTCTGTTTCTGTAATCACTTGGATTGGCCATGGAAAAGAGAAAGGAAAATGGTGGAAACGAGGGCTTTTATGACCACAGCTTCAGCTTTATGCCATTGAAACTGTTCTGCAAGTTCTGTCTGCCCATGTCTGATTCTTAAAAGCACAGAAACGCTCACTTAATGTGACTTACTAAGATGTCTTGTTATAAATATACAATGCAAGGGATGTTCTTGGATAATAAAATAAAATCTATATTTATTTAATTAGACAAATGTTTAATTGTATTCATTTGAATGGACATTCAATGTATTATTATTGTTAATAATAAAGTTGTTTAATATGTAATCAAATAATAATTATAATAATAATAAATTGAATATCTCTTAAATGTAATAAAATGTCATTATTTTAATGTAACAAATATTCAATACTACTACTACTAATAATAATAATTATTATTATTAAACTATATTTTTTGGCACATTTTTCATCTAGACCTGCTGTTCTCAGAGAATAACTTAATAACCTAGCACAAAGTTTTAAGAGTTAGCACAAATATGAAATGTAGGTTTTGCTGTGACTAGACAGGGCGTATGTTTCTACAAATACCTTGAGGGAAAACAGTGTGTTCTGCCACTTTTGACAGGATTTTTTTTTTTTAAAGCACCGACAGGTCATGGAACTCCTAGTGGAAGTGAGCCTCCTCATATTTGCCTTATTCAGTGCACAATGGTTTGTGTTGTGTCCAGTCAGTTGGGTGAGATTTGTCTGTGTCGTATGCAGTCATGTCGATGCTTTCCTTCTGATGAAAAAGGTGTATTTTGAATCTGTGTGACCAAGTGTTTTTTTTGTTTTTTTGCAATGGGTGTCAAAAGTAGGGAAGGAGGGATTCTAACTTTGTTTAGTCACTTTGGAAGGAACAAATGTCTGTTTAAATGGTCCATACACCCATTCAAGTGTAAATTGTGCAGCTGAATGCAACAATTTGCATAAGAATGTTTTTATTTACGATTTGTTTTCACAAACCGGGCCCTTAATTTCCACAACTTATTCATAGTTTTACATAAATCAGTTTGGTTATTGACTCGCTGATGCCTCTCTCAGCATCCAAATCATTCGAATAACATGATGCACATATTCTGTACTTGATAAGGATGAAGGAAATGAGCAATTGTGAATGTATGGCCAAGGAAAACCTTCCCGGAAACATTTCTAACAGTTCCTCTGTCTCCAATATGTGATCCGTTTCATCCAGTCTGTACTGTATTTCTTCTCCATACATTGTTCATTATATTTGTTTGTCACTTCAACCCTTCATTTTGTCCTGAACGAACATAGCCTAATAAAAGTAGGTTTGCAAGGATGGACCGAGACTGCCAAAAAAAACAGGGATGTATGAGAAACATTCTGTATACCTTGTACAATTTTCAGCCAAAATTCCCAGCGTTTTAATTCATCAGAATAACTTTTATTTATTTATTTATTACGAATCATTTAATCATAAGATCTGTTACAGAGCATTGCTTCTACATGTTTGAGTGGCTGCTGCTCTTTTTGTACTTTTTGTCCATTTGTACATTCTTTTTAAATGTTTATACTTGCTTTTCAGACTGCCTTTTTTGTACATTCAACTTTATAATCTGACAGTGCAAGCTTTCCTCATTGTGTCTTCGAACCGTAATGTTTTAAAGTCTGCTATTGTGTGCTAGCTTTATGAAAAAGAGTTATAAGCCTATATTGACGGTCATCAAATATTGTGTGAGTGTGCATGTGCAGTTTTATATCGAAATAAATTTGATATTTTATACACACTGTTGGGCTATTGTGTGTTATTTTATTAACTCAAGTCAAGTTTCTGCAGTGTTACAGGTGAGTGAATGAGTTATTTTGGTGAGGGTAGATAAAATATAATCATAAACTTCAGAAAGATGGCGCCAAAAGTTCATAGTTGCCCGCCGATGTACTAGTAAAACAAAAAGGGGATAGAAATAGTTTTTTGTTTTTTTCCTCTCTGCTCTTTAATAATACCTACTACATTGTAAAGGCCTCTCTCTTAAGCACACTCAAAAACAGTATAATGAGTGATTCTTACTTGCTCTAGTTTTTGCCCCGTCTTTTGGCAGAATAACAAACCACATTTTCATGCACTTGTTTTTAGCTCTGCAGGTTTGTGTGTGTGGTAATCTAACAAATGACATAATTAGAGATATAATTACAGAATTCCCATGTCCAGATGCTCAAATACTGGAGCAGAAAAAGTGGGTGGGATAGCACTAGGGATCACTTGGGTCTCGAAATGGGTTCAAGCCAATTTTTTATTTTTTTTCTGTGTAGTTGAATTTCAATACATTGTAGCGATTCTCGTTGTCATTATTCATGTAAAAAAAAAAAAGGTGTAAATTCAGATGGTTGGAGAAGCCAAGGGGTACCTGTTACTATTCTCTACGCTGCTCTGGATAAGCCAATCATTGCTTGAGATTACTGTGTAAGGTTATAGAGACTGACGGAACGGAATTCCTTTCAGATGGCAGGTACTATTATTTGTAATGAATAGATTTAAACCACAACTCTAATGTAATAATATGATATCTACACTAAGACAAAAATGCTAATCAATGGGGGATTCGGCTTTCTTAAGCCCCCATATAGCTGCACGAACACCACTTCGTGTCCCATAAGAAACAGTGTAGTTAGTAACATTGACCGCCCAAAGGGCTCAACCCACTGATGGTGAGAGCGCGAGCGCGGCGCAGGTTCTTCATCAGAGCTCACACACGGATTCTGAGACGATGGATTACAAACTCTGAATTAAGTTGTTAATTAATTACAATTGATCTTCATACCTGCTGGCATTTTGAACGTCATATTCTGACGCACTCATAGGTGTTTCTTCTTAAACATATAGGCTACTCTAACAATATCTTCACATTGATATACGCGCAATGATTTTGTTCGTTTACCGTTAACGGCGCAATATAGATTTCACATTTGTAACGTATTGCTAAAAACGCCTTTGAAAACAATGGACTTCAAATACTGTAAAGTTCTACTTCTGACTCTCCTGACCGTTCAGGTAAGACAGTTGTTTTTATGAACAGAAGAAGCGGTGGGTTTTAATGCAAAAGTCACTTGATAAGTTGAATGTTTTATTTCTTTCAGGTTCGTAGTGACATAGTATCACCGTCAAAACATCCAGGTAAAAGATCAGTTACAATTCACAGTTGGGTTATTTGTTTTTACTTCAGAACTAATAGAAATGTGTAAATCATTTAGAGCAAATGTGTTCATAAAAGGCTATACACAAATTAATCTTAAATTAAATTGAGGATGGCTTTTTTTCTCAGTTGTGTTGAATTTAAAAGGTTCATTTATCCATCACATCCTTTTTCTTATTAGTATAATAAACATAAATGACCGTTTGTACGACTGAAACTGAATTTAAACGAAAATTGAAAGTTTTTTTTTTTTTTTTTTAAGTTCCCTTATTTGTAATGAAACTCTGAATACGTTACTGTAATCGCATTTAACATTAAAATATCCGTTCACTGTCTATAAACTGAGACCAACATCCTCATCCACAATAACACTTTCTGCTCCAAAGTTGCTTCAAATCTTATCTAGTTTCATGAAATTACACGTTTGACTAAGGAAAATTGATTCAGCACTGAGATCGTCTTTGGGCTGTTGTGAAATGTTATGACATATGTTATGAAATTCAGAAAATGAGGACATCTTTGCAGGTAATACAGTACATAATAGAAAATGAATAAAGAAACCAGACTAAATATAGATAGATAGATAAAGAGTTTATATACACTAAAATAAAGCTTTTCTGAAAACAATTTAAGTTGCAGAACAAGAAGATACAACTTAGCATTTAGTCTCTTTGGATATGGATGTGTGTGTTGTGCTCAGGCCTGCAGGTGCTGGCCACAGCGTCACACTACTGGCCCCTGGATACAGTGGAAGGGATCCACAGCCTTTCAGACCAGATTGGGAACAAACCAGGTCATGTTAATGGGACTAATATAAGTATGTCACACCTGTTTTGTCATTCTTTCTTTCTTTCTTTCTCCACAGCTGTTTAGCATTCTTCTACGGTCACGTCTTAGTTGCAGAAATCTCTGGGGCTTTGCAGCTGTCTTCAGTTCTTAAAATGAAATGATTTCCTCATTTGATTCGAAACTTACATGATTACCTCGTTTGTGATGAAGACAAAAGACTGTGACATTTAAGGGTGTCAGAAGTACACACAGTTTCTCCCAGTGATTTACTAGTCCACTTGGATTTTTAGATAACTCTGAAATGCCCTCAACAGATCTGCTGAAAATGTGTGTGTAAGACAAACACCCACACGCCATTCCATAGCTGAAGTATATTTTCAGTATAAGTACAGTATGGCAGTTGCTCTGTGGCGGCTAATTCAGAACAAATGGAGGGCTGAGAGGAATTCTCTGGGCGCCTCAGACTTGTGTCGACAGACTCGACACAGTGTGTCCCATGTGCAGATCTAAAAGATATCTTAAAATCTGAATGCTTCCTTAAATGTTACACTGGGACACTAGTCATCTTGTCCACCATGTCTGCCTGAGTTTCTCACAATGTCCCTTTTTTCTGTTTCATGTCTCTGTGCTCATTTGTGCATATGTCTGTTGCTGAATCACCTGTTTTTTTTCTGTCTCACTTTCTTTGTTGTTTCCACATTCTCTCCATCCGTTTGTGATGAAGACAAAAGACTGTGACATTTAAGGGTGTCAGAAGTACACACAGTTTCTCCCAGTGATTTACTAGTCCACTTGGATTTTTAGATAACTCTGAAATGCCCTCAACAGATCTGCTGAAAATGTGTGTGTAAGACAAACACCCACACGCCATTCCATAGCTGAAGTATATTTTCAGTATAAGTACAGTATGGCAGTTGTTCTGTGCTGGCTAATTCAGAACAAATGGAGGGCTGAGAGGAATTCTCTGGGCGCCTCAGACTTGTGTCGACAGACTCGACACAGTGTGTCCCATGTGCAGATCTAAAAGATATCTTAAAATCTGAATGCTTCCTTGAATGTTACACTGGGACACTAGTCATCTTGTCCACCATGTCTGCCTGAGTTTCTCACAATGTCCCTTTTTTCTGTTTCATGTCTCTGTGCTCATTTGTGCATATGTCTGTTGCTGAATCACCTGTTTTTTTTCTGTCTCACTTTCTTTGTTGTTTCCACATTCTCTCCATCACAGCTGTCAGAATCCACAACCACACTGTCCTGACTACACATAAATCTTCCTCTGTGTATACCAATGACTCTGCCTACACTAACATTTCCGCCACTGTAGGTGAGGCTCTTACACATGTTCACTTACTACCTAGTACACAGTTATGGGTCTTGGGGAGTAGTGTTAGGGCATATACGTTCATGTAGGCCTTGTATATCAGCAGGACATCATTAGGAGAAAGTAAACCAAAAAAAACCTCTGATACATGACCATTTACATTAGGGTAATTGAAGCATGCATTGTTTAGTGCTGTTTAATCTGGCATTCTTCACTGAAATCAAACCTTTCGCAAGCTTTACGACTGATTTTATTGGATCCGGTGTGTTTGTGAAACTGCGTTTGAAAACCTTGTCCCATTTTGGAAATCTGCTGTATGTGGTGTGATTTGTTATGTCAGTTCATTTAAAACAAATGTCCCAGCCAAAATTGTACAACGGATTGAATCAAATTGATCGAGCAGCATTGCAAGATTGCTGATATTTAGTAAAACAGTCCTGCAGTGTTCCACTGTTTGAATCCTTCCGCTTGTCTTTGTTTGCTACATGAATTCGAATTTCATTGGCGAAGCAAATTCCAAACAAATCCAAACTTACAGTTTATATATGTGTATATGATTATATAGTTAAAAAAAGTCATATTGTGAAATATTTTTATCATTTAAATAACTGTTTTCGATTTTAATATATTTTAAAATGTGATGTATTCCAGTGATGGCAAAGATGAATTTTCAGCACTCCAGGCATCAGTGTCTCAAGATCCTTCAGAAATTATTCTAATAGGATGATGTTGCGCTCAAAAATATATATATTTGTGTGGAAAACGTGATACTTTTTTTAAACTGAACAATTAAAAAATTAAACAATTACCTATCATTCACTGCTCAAACATTCTTTTCAAACAGTCCACTGTTTCGTAAGGTTACTGGAGTATTCAAGTGAAAACTTCCTGTGCAGTATTTATGATCATTCTGATAGCATATAAAAACAGCATTATTAATATCAGCATGGCTTGCTTACAGTATGGGATTTTGTAATTCAGATGTCTTTTACTGTAGTTAATTTGCCTTTATCAAAATCTCACTCTAAAAAGCCACATTTAAGGTACTTCTGCACAATACTTCACAAAGGCATGCCGATACCCTGGATCTCACTGCATAGATGGATGTTCAGTCCTCTGCACCTCTTTATCTCTCTGCCCCCATTACAACTGTTGTTCACTCACTCCATACTACAGTCTGTCTCCTTTCTGTCTTCTGCCATCCACCGTGTCTTCACTGAGCACTCTTTTCCATGAGCATCTCTTCTCCTAACTCATCCATTCATGAGGTGTGATGGTGCTACGGCTCCCAATGTGTCCACAGATCCTGGCTTTTTAGGTCTAATAAAGGAGGATTTATTGAACAAAGTCACTGCATTCAAAGGAGAACAACTTACCATTGACCAAAAAAACCCAAAACAGACTATCATGATTCATCTGCAGTTCAGTTGTTCAGATTGGGGCTTTTTCATTCCCCAGATCTTCATAATTCAGGAGATCTGCTCTTGTTTTAGAGAATGGAGTAAACTATACTCATATTTTTACTATATGGTGAAAGGTTAGGATTTCCTCATAAAGTCTCTAGTCAGAACATCACATGAACAAATGGCTTTATTGAGCATAAAACAGCTTCCCAGTTAGACTATCAATGAATATTCACCTAAAGTATTCAGTTTTGCATTTGTGTTAGATAAAAAAGGAAAGCATGTTGAATTAGGTTTTTGCATGAGATGATTTTGAACTGTAATGCCTTCTGTAATTCCTTTCAAGTGTTATAATCTTGTCTGTTGCTCTCTCATCATGTAGACATTGTAGAAGGAATGGTGAATAAGGGCATCTATCTGAACGGTGATAATGGGGCCACTTTCCTTCACTTTGGCAACTATAAAGACTCCTGCATAAGTGATCCTACTTTGTGTGGACCTGCCGGTGAGTTTTTATTGTCCTCCTTCACTCTTTTCTGTTGTTATAGAAGTGCATGAACATCTTTATATGGTCATAGATGTATGACAGTTGAGTAATGTGTTGCTCAGGTTATAGATGACGTAATAAAGGCTAATGGTTCAAAATTAAGTTTATATTTCTCAAGAGCAAATATATCAGCTTACATCAAGCGTTTTGTGCATGAAAGCTGATATCATCTGTTATTCATCTGCTCACATCAGCGCACATTCCTTTGCTCTCAAAAATCAGAGAATATGTTGTATTTATATTTATTTTCCAGGGCTTGACCAAAGTAAGACTTGCAATATTGGTTGTGATGAAGCGGCCTGGATCTAATAAAGACGCTTTTGTTTAAAGTTAGCTATCAGTACGTATTGGAAAAAGAGCTTGGTTTTTGGTTGTGGCCAGAGGATTATGAAAATCAGACTTAAAAACTTAAATGTATTAATGCATCACTCTTTGCTATTTATTCATTTATTATTATTATTTGAAAATAAGATGTACAAATTTACATCAAATTATAATATATTAGTCATATATTATAGTATGTTAAATATTATTAAAACATTATTATTATAATAAAGGAAAAAATTATTATTTTGAATGAATAAATGCAATTATTTGAGCATCAAATCACAGCCTAAATACTGTAAAGTACTATATGCTGTATTATGTAGTATTATTTTTCTCAAAGTTTCTTTGTGTAATTGTGTCACAATACTTTGAGCTCAACACAAAGCTTTATTTAATTCTTACTCCTGGACAGGGATAACTTTCTCCTTCTTCTGGAAAAATAATGAGGTAGATTCTCGTTTTGCGATTGCATCCGGAGGTAAAGTCATCTCAAGCGGTTTCTCTGTCTATTCCAACCCTCATGGCGGATACGTGGAGTTCTACACGAGAGGAGACTCTAACACATGGAAAGCACATATGAAACTTCCAGGTAGTTATTATTTGAGTGTGTGTGTTTAGTTCAGGATGTGGAAAGTGCTTGAATGGTTTGGGGAACCATTGTGTTTTGCCTTATCTTTAAAGCCAAAAAATATTTCCCATGATCTTGAAATTTTGCATGCATGGACTCATTTTGAAATACATTCTGGTTTGGAATTACATTTGCAGTCTAACCGTAAATATTTTGAGTATGTAGTTTTGTGCATAATTATATTGATTACATCCAGATGTCCAAACGTACTTGAGTCGAAAAAAACGTTCTCTTTTGGACTTGACAGAGTGATTTAAATTTGTATCTCACTGTGAAAGGAAATGGAAGTTTGAGTGAATAAGTAGCTCAAGTAAAATCATTTAGCTGCCCGAGTAAATAATCATTTCTTTCATCTAAAATTTGGGGAGTTGTGTCATTTCCAGAATACGTCTTCAGTATCTGGAAGTGTTGTGTAGTGTAGTGATTATACACTGCCGTTCAAAAGTTTGGGATCAATAATATTGTATATATATATATTTAAATACATCTGTGAAGCAACAATGCATTAAATTGTTAAAAAAGTGAGAGCAAAGACATTTCTAATGTTAGCAACAATTCTTTTTTGAATAAATGCTGTTCTTTTGAACTTTCTACTCATCAAAGAATCCTGAAACTATGTATCACAGTTTCCACAAAAATATTAAGCACCACAACTGTTTTCAACATAATAATGTCATCATATTAGAATCATAATAATATCATCATATTAGAATCATAATAATGTCATCATATTAGAATGATTTCTGAAGGATCATGTGACACTGAAGAGTAATGGCTGCTGAAAATTCAGCTTTGCAATCACAGGACTACATTTTAAAATATTAAAATAGAAAGCAGTTATTAAATTGTAATACTATTTCACAGTATAACAGTTTTTACTGTTTTTTGATCAAATAAATGCAGCCTCTAGGATAAAGTCAGAAAATGAACAAGATACCCAAGTTTTGTCCCTAAGACTAAAACATGTATTACCAAAGTATAAACCAATTCCACGAAAAGAGAGACATTAACATTACGTACTGAGTGGGATGATGTCCATGTGCTATTTTATCCCTGGACAGATGAAATGAGTCATTGACAGTTCAGCTCAGAGTTTCTGTAAACCATGTTTTATTGGCTTCGTTATAAGCTGATGAAATCCATTCACATGCTGTCTCCAGCGCTTAGTCTCTGTTCAATCTAAACTTACGTTTTATGGACCCAGACACTATGAGTAGATCTGGAAATAATATTACCATTATCTTTATTTCCAAACAGTCAAAGCATGAAATCCGTGTATGCTTGTTTGAAATTTCATTTGCTGGCTTTCTCTCTCCTGTCATCTCTGTCTTTATCTAGGGCCCTACTGGACACACGTGCTCTTCACATGGACCCAGTCGGAGGGGTTAAAGGTCTACATTAATGGGACATTCAGCGTCGGAGACCCCACAGGAAATATTTCTCATAACTATGGCGATCCCTATGCTGACCTGGTCATTGGCACAGTAAACAATGGGAATTACGACCACTATGCCACAGGGGCCTTCGATGAGTTTGTGATTTGGGAGAGGGCCTTGTCCCCTCAGGATATCTGGATGTACTACAAAGCAGCCATTGGTAAGTTATCATGGAGCTCATTGTGACTCAAATCTGCTGTCATTATCATTTCATTTATCTATACGTTTATTTTCTCTGTGGCAGCCTTCTCTTGTCCCAACCATGTGCTTCTCTGCAGTTGCCAGCCATTGCCGTTGTTGTCAGGGCTTCCCAAATTAGCTGCACTTGATCTTTGTTGTCTCTGGCTTGTCCCAACTTGCCTTTTAGCAGATGGCAGCACCCCATGTTTTTCAATATATTGAATATTGCTGGTTAATTCTGTCTGTCTTTATTCATTTGAGGTACAATAGCAATTAAGCCACTGAACAATTAAAAAAATTAAGCAATACTTAAATGTATGATTTTTTGTTATTGCATTGAATATAGAAAACATTAAACTTGATTAAAGTAGTATATGCACACAAAACAGTTTTTTTAAATAAAAACCTTAAAGATAAAATAAAATAAATCCCACTTGAGTTGATGTTTTGTGATCAGAGATTAAATAATTATTAATATTTTTAATACAGTAGGGGTCAGTAAGATTTTTTATTCAGCAAGGATGCATAATCAAAAGTGACAGTGAACATACAGTACTTATAATGTTGCTTATAATGTAAGCTTTTTATTTAAGATGTGTGCTTTCCATTCATTAAAAAAACTTTAAAAAACCTGTTCACATCATGTTTTCCAGAAAAAATATATATATTAGGCAGCACAACTGTTTTCAATACTGATAACATAACAAAATAAATGTTTCTTAAGCTCCAAATCAGCATATTAGAAGGATTTCTAAAGAATCATGTGACACTGAAGACTGGAATAATGCGTTGCCATCATAGGATTAAATTACATTTTAAAATATATTAAAATAGAAAACATTTTTTAATTGAAATAATAGTCCCCAATATTACTGTTTTACTGTATTTTTGATCAAATAAATGCAAATGCAAGTAAAGTCTTGGTGAGCATAAGAGACTACTTTCAAAAACACTTAAAAAATACTTTCCAATCCCAAACTTTTGAATGGTGGTCAGTGGTCTAGATTAATACAAAGAAAAAAAAGTGTACTTTGAAGTGCCATTGGTGGAGATCATGGCCAAAAAGTGGATTTCAGAATGTTCTTTTGATTGTATGGATAAGAAACATCTGTGATGTTGCCGCTTTGTTTGTTTTTTGCCATTTTTGGAGTTATTACCCTGCATGCTGGTTATTATAGAGCGGAAGAAGCATTTGAAGACAATTTCCTTCAGAGACACTGGTCCACATTCCACCAGTCCTCAAAACGAACCACACTGAAATGCACTGTTGAAATACCATTAAATGTTTGTTCTTGCATATGTGTCCTCGAAGGCCGTTTTGATGGCTTTGGTTGTAACTGCGCATATCTTTACCTTATATGTATGTGGTGGCGGGACGAGTTTTATATCAGGGTTTTGTTTTCTTTTAAACTGCAAGTGTTTGGAACCTCGTCTGGGCAGTTGGTTGGAGTTTCTTGCAGGCAAGATGCTTTAGTGTGGCAAAGACAAATTTAATAAATGGTTTCCATCTTCATCAGTATCAGAGAGCAGACCAATGAGGTCTTTAACATCTGGAGATTGCTGTCCATTAACATTCCCATTCATCTCAATGCCGGTTGGCAAATGCCCACCATAATGGTGTAGTTAGAGAATCTTCCAGCAAGGGCTAACAGGGCCATGCTAATGAGACAAACCTTGACCTTTTAGACCAGACAACACAAAAAGCTTGAAGTTATGCCTTTCCATTACCATACGAAGATTAAATTGTTTTCCAAAACTAATAAAATGTAATTAAATTAAGTACAATACTGAACTGGTCTTTAAGGTCAGACCTGGAGTCCTGCATTGTCAGTATTTTTGTCTGTTTTCCAGTAAATATTTAAACATCCTTAAAACAAAATACATTTACTGGAGAATTAAAATTGGTGAATAGTTTATTTCTTCCTCTTTTAAGCATGTATTTCTAAAACAGTAATATCCAAAAATAAATACTTTGGATCCAGCGTAAGTCACATTGAATAAAAGCATCTGCCAAATGTGTACATGTAAAATGTAAAATCATGCTAAAATTCAGTACCCTGTCTCCAATACCTTAATTTTAAAGGGGTCATATGATGCGATTTAAAATTTTCCTTTCTCTTTGAAGTGCTACAAGCTCTTGGTGCATAAAGACGATCTGAAAGTTGCAAAGACTAAAGTCTCAAATCCAAAGAGATATTCTTTATAAAAGTTAAGAGTTAACCACGCCTACCTAAAACGGCTCGTTCTAACACGCCCCCACATATCTACATCACTATGTGGGAAGATTTGCATTACACCGCCCAAATGTTCACGCAAAGAAAGAAGGCGTAACTTTTATTCTCACTGTAGTATTGTTGTTGCCGCCATGTCGTGAAGGCGCTGTGTGCTTCGTTGTGAAAGCGAAACTACTTTGTTTGGTCTTCCAAAAGAGGACGATATCCGCTTCGTCATGCCTGGAGATGATCCGTGGTGGTCGCTGAGAAAATACATCAACTTCGCGCTGTGGATCGCCGGATCGGCTTTCACCGTGGACGAAGTAGAGTCCAGCCCGGGGTCGTCACATGTGGCTGCCGCAAGCCCTCTGGCTGCTCCTTCGGCGCTCCCTCTAGGCCGCCGGCCTCCGCTCACTCTAGACCGCCGTGTATGACGCTGTGTTTCGTTGTGAAAGCGAAACTACTTTGTTTGGCCTTCCAAAATAGGACACGACTAGAAATCAGTGGTTAAATTTACAACACTATTCCAGAACAGTTCAACCCAAATATTCAGATGTGTGCAGCACATTTTATGGAGGACTGTTTCCTGATCCTGGTAGAGTAGACTACAGTGCCGGCAGTTCTGACTCACAGACTGTAAGTACGTTTTTTATATATAAAGAATTTGCCACTGACGATTCAAACGCGAGTTTTGAGCAGTTTAGGGGCATAGAGGAGAAACCATAATGTACAGTATGTGGGAAATAATGTGTTTTTATAACCTTAAACCACATAAACACATTTCATTACACCAAATAATGTTCTTTTTAGCAGCATCATATGACCCCTTTAAAATAAATTTATACCTCAGCAATTTTGTTTCTCAAGTAAATTATTGAAACTTTTATGGTGCAACTTTACAATTCAGTTCCATAAACATCCATACTGGCATTTGAACAAATATGGATCCATGGCTCTTTAAAGGGGGATGATAGTGATTATGTAGGTCGATGTTGGCACTCTGGAGGAGGTATTGGCCACCACTTTAGAAACTGAAATATATCCTCTCACAGCACTGATTGTTAGCCACTATTATGGAAAAAGACCTTTTGTTAATGATAAAAAAAACATGTTGTTGTTGAAGAAGAGAAAATCTACTGTTGTTTTGCTCACGTCCAGCTTTAATAGGCTCTAATGAGGGGCATAGTACAGAGTCATTAGAGAGCTGCTTTTCCAGGGGCCCTATAAACCAGCCTCACTGCAACCGACATGTGCGTTCAGGGAAAGGTATCACATGTGCCTTTCCAGCAGGTGTGAACTATTTGTTCCATGAGATGAAGAGAACTTGTTCAGAGCTCTTTAGTTAGCTTCTGTGCATAGCTTTGATGTCATATAAATAATTCTTATTACATCACTCAATTATTATTTATTTTTTATTCTTATTTATTTTTTTTAAATTTAATCAAATAAATATTAGAAATGTAAAATATTTTATAATTTTACAAATTTTTAATCATACATTTAATTTAATTTATTATTCATATCTGTTTTCTTTGCACAGCATTTCATTTATTTTTGTCACCACAGGTGAGAATGTGATGTCCACCTTCCCAACCGAAGCATCCATCAATGTCACTGCTGCAACAGATACTCAGTTAAAGGTAAATTCTTCTGACCTGAGGTCACCCGTTGCACTTTCTGATTCTGTTTCTGTGAGTTAGGACTGTAATCTCTCAAACCAGAGGAGCATAGAAAGATAACAGCAGAAATACAACTTCATCATGTATTGCTCCAAATTCCAGGGTTATCTAGGAGATTTCACATGGCAGGAGCACTCATTAGAATATTCCCAAAAAAACACTGAAACTTTGAGGGCAGTCATTTTGTTTGACTAATGTATGTGCAAACACATCTGTAATGAGGGTAAGCACTAACCTGTCTCTCTTCCCTCTCAGTAAAAGTAAGAAATAAGTTCTTGCGGTGAATTCGCCAGTATCTAATTACGAAACATTTGTCTTTGGTTTCTGTTAGTTTGATTAATTGAGCTCACTGAAACAACCACAAGTACAAGGCAGGATTTCTCACTCATCAGCCTTAATCGAAACCATCCCAGCCTGGCTAGATTAACTGCAGTGAAGTCTGTTTTTGGAATTTAAGATTCATGAGTTTATTTAAGTAAAATAACAACTAATCCCCCCAAAATACACTTCATAACCCTTGAAGGGTATGTATGTGATTTATTTATATGTCACCACTGTCAGTTAATTGCAAAAAAATCATTCCTGAGTCAGTGTTATTTTAGTGTCACTTATATGCTATTATAGTTTTTGCTAGTAATTTGAATTAGATTATATTTTTATAATTTCTTTTTAAATTTTTTGGTGATTTTGCTGTGTTTTTATCATTTTGATCATTTTTTAAATATGTCTATATTAAGTTTCAGTTAGTTTCACTTTAATTTAAACTAAACAACAATTGAAAATGTTGCCTTGGCAACTAGCTGAAATAAGTAAAAAAAAAATATATATATATATTTGTTTATATTGTATTTTATTTTAGTTATGATAATAACCCTGTCCCAAACCATCACCCAGTCTGCCATTGGTCAAGCAAACAGAGTTAGTCCCGCCTCAAACTTACACCATTGGTTGAGCCAATTTTGGTAGCTGAGCTGCTCAAACAAACACTTTTCAAGGCAATCCACCTACTTTTCTTAGATGCTATTTATACAGAAAGTGTTTTTACATTTTAAAACTTGTAACATAGGGCAGTGAATTAAAAAGGAATACAAATTCTAGGGCTATTTGTTTTAAAAGTTGTACTTAAACTTGAATGATGTGTCATGTGAAATGTCGGAAAAGATGTGAGGCACGAATGCAATGGCCAAAGACGTCCATCTAGTGCACGTTTGCATAGAAAAACAAAGCAAAAACAGGGGAGTGGAGTGTAAAAATGCGTTCTGTGTGAACAGCCCCTTACAGTTGTTTCTGCATATTGAGCTAGGATATGGGAAATTATTTAACTTATTGACATTTCTTGAAATAGTTGCACATCAAGATCCGCGGTGTAAATGTGAGCATATGGAGAACAGCAGTCACCGAGAGCAGTACACTCAGATGGTTGACTTCATTTGAATGCTAGTAAATTAAGTTGGCCATTCAAGACACTGACATATCCTCTAAAGGCTCTCAGCGGTGTTTGACACACCTCCTTTTACAGGCTCTCAGTCTGTCTGCTCGGATTCTTCTCTGCGCAGTAATTAAATGGAGTGGACGAACACAGACAAACACACACACACACACATGATTAGGGCCTCCCAGACTACACCTCACACACCCTTGGATGATTAGGTGTTATGAAGCTGATGCAGACGTCGCTCTGGGACCGTCCATGTGTGAATAGACGCACACACCCTTGGCAGACATACAAGAGCACAGCAGGAAATGAGGTGGAGGCCGAAGCTGTAAACACAAACAAATTCAGCTCTTTCGTAACTATTGTTTCCCCCCCAGACTCTGAGGAAATGGAAAGAAATCAGAGTTTGAGCATTCGCGCAAATGACAACACTGGCTGTTATTGAGTAAGGAGGTCAAGTAAAAGAGAAGATTTTCCGTAATGGCCTCTTATAGGGTATGGATGAAAAAATGAGACTTTAAGCAATTAGTTTGGAGGTTCTTTCTTCAGACTTCTTTGGAAAGTTCAAGTAAGACTGGCATTCAGCTTGGCTGTTGACATTGACATTCACAAATCCTTTGAGAATGAGATTTAATTAAATAATTTCAGCTGTACTGTAAGCGCCAGTGATTCTGATGCGTGTTGAAATGATTATATTAGGTTATGGGAAACCACAAAAACGCATTTATATTTTGAATGTCAAGTCCGAGCCACACAGAGCCATTACATGTGATTGTGGGTCATTTTATGGAGTGCTGTTGACACATATATAGCAGATATTTTTGTGTGTGTTACAGAGAACCACAGAGATCCCCCGACCTACCTCCACAAACCTGACAGAGGAAGTTCAGAGACTTCAGGACCCCATGCGGTTACAAACGCTCGACCTCCTTCAGTCTCTATCATTTAACCTTCCAAACAACACTATACCTCAGGAAACAGCCAACAATCTTACACAGGTGAAGATGGGACGTTTGAGGGTTTTGGAAATCATAAAGAAACATTGAGATAAAAGAAAATAATTATTTCAGAATCTGCATTATTTTTAGGTCTTTATTAAAATAAGTACATTTGTGACATTAATTGTGTGATTTTTGTTATAGACAATATTACGGCAATATTACTGTTTTTACTGTATTTTTAATCAAACAGTGAATGCAGCCTTGGTGAGCATAAGATACTTCTTACAAACATATTTTTAAAAAAACTTACTGACCCCAAATTTGTGAACAGAATTGTAAATCACAGTGGGGGAAAAAAAGAAAAATAGAAGCATCTTCACTGTTTCTTTTAGACTTAACACACACACACAAGTTTTTAACTATGCATCATTCTGCTCTATGTGTTTTAGTCTCTACTGAAAAGTGTGGATGAGGTCATAACTGCCAGCGACTGGAGAGAAAATGATGAGGTACGTTTAATGGATAGATTGATGATTGGAAAGATATAAAGATTCTATCAGTCCATTCATTCATAAGTAGGTCCAGATGAATCTGCAGACTTGTTACGCATTTCAGCGGTTCCTTTGAGGGAACATATGAAGAGTTCAGATGCAAAAGCCTCTAAGTGCCATCTGAAATTTTCTTCTAAAATTAGCATATTTATCAGGCTCCTATGTTTAGGTTCAGTAATTTTTCTTTAAATTAAAAACGTGAAATAAATTAACATAAATATAGGAGTCTGATAAAAATGCTAATTTTAGATGAAAATTTCAGATGGCACTTAGAGGCTTTTGCATCTGAACTCTTCATATGTAGAACTGAAAGAATGTGTTAAATGGAGCTGAAGGTACTACAAACCTATTGGTATCTGAAAGAATCATCAGGTTCGTAATATACTTTGGACTTGTCTTTTATCATGGTAAACAGTGGAGTCCAGTGGTCAGTGGGCTGGTGGAGACTGTGGATAAAGTGATGGTGCATATGGTCTCCAACCTTCGGTCCAGCCCAGACGCAGAGGCTCCTTTGGCCATAGGGGGCAAGAGCTCTGTAGCAGGTCAGTACACACTCCAGAACACTTCTTCAAACTTCCATTTCTAGAATATCTGTTCTTAGAAATTCACACTTCCTCTGGCTTGAAGTATGTGGAGTATGTCCAAGTATGCTCAAAGGGGAACGCATACCTAATGCACATGCATGAATGCAGCATACAGGGTGTGTGTCACAGTGTACAATTAGGCCTGAGTTAAGGAATTTGAAGTTTGAGATATGAAACATGACTTGAAAAAGCTAAACAGCCATATTTTACAATTTTATGTTATTCCAAGACGTGTTAAATGTTTTAAAGGAGTCATATGATGTGATTTGAAGTTTTCCTTTCTCTTTGGAGTGTTACAAGCTGATTGTGCATAGATAAGATCCCTGAAGTTGCAAAGACTAAAGTCTCAAAACCAAAGAGATATTCTTTATCAAAGTTAAGACTCTGCCACGCCCCCCTAAAACGGCTCGTTCTAACACGCCCCCACATATCTACCTCACTATGTGGAAATATTTGCATAATGCCGCCCAAATGTGCACGCAAAGAAAGAAGGCGTGGTTTCAGTAACAGCAGTTAGTGTTGAAGCAGCCATGTCAGGGAGACGCTGTGTGTTTCAGTGCGAAAGCAAAAGCACTTTATTTGGCCTTCCGAAAGTAGATGCAATTAGGAATCTTTAAGATGACTTACAACAGAACAGCAATGCATTTTATGGACGACCGTTTCATGAACCTAGGAGAGGAGGTAATTCTGACTTTGCTATGACAATCTGGCGCTTCTGAATCAGCTACTGTTTTGTTATTATTTTAAGTATTTGCTATTGACTGTTCAAATGCGGAGTTTTGCACATCGTGTGTGTGTGCGCGAGTGAGCGAGTGAGAGAGAGAGAGAGAGAGATACGCCCAGTGATAAATCAGTGATACGCCCACACAAAAACACACACCACACCACACACACACACACTCAATTCAATTCAATATGTGCTTTATTGGCATGACAATTGTTACAATGTATTGCCACAGCATAGTGTTTACATTGAATCTAGAACAGATATATATGCAAAAAAAACATGCATGTATATACATTTAAAAAGTAAAACAAATTAAAATTTTAGAATCGTAGAATTCTACGATTCTAAAATTTTAATTTGTTTTACTTTTTAAATGTATATACATGCATGTTTTTTTTGCATATATATCTGTTCTAGATTCAATGTAAACACTATGCTGTGGCAATACATTGTAACAATTGTCATGCCAATAAAGCACATATTGAATTGAATTGAGAGAGAGAGAGAGCGCGAGAGAGAGAGGGGGGGGGGTCACATCACAGTGGAGTCAGCTGTCTTAACCGTGGCTTGTGTACTGCAAACACATACCAGCTTCATCACTGTGTCTGTCACGTGACTCTGTTCCCCTTTCGGGCTCTGTCTTTACATTTATTTTGAAAGATGAAGCTCGCAATTATGGTAAGGGGCGTTAAATTTCCGACGAGTGCTTGCGGTGTTCGGCCAATCACAATGCACTGGGTCAGCTGGCCAATCAGAGCAGACTACGCTTGTCGGAAGGAGGGACTTTGTAGAAAACGAAGCGTTTGAGAGAGGCAGGGCATAGAGGACTTACAATAATGTACAGTATTTGAAAAATAATGTGTAACATATTCTGTTACACCAAATACACAAAATAATGATCTTTAAAAAAGCATCATATGACCCCTTTAACATATATGAGAAAGTTGATTTATGTTCATAATGATTTTAAGTAGTCAGAAGTGCTGCAAATTAAGGAATCAAACACAAATGTGCATGTCTATCTTGTCTTTTGGGAAAAAAAAACGTAACATGAAATGTTTTGACCGTGGTTGTTTGGGTTATTGTACTGTACCATTAGTGTACCAGATAATTTCACAATTCTCTGTGCCAGTTTTAATATCACCAGAAAAGTGAATATACTGTTGATTCTTTATTTTAAGAAACAAAACAACATACAGAACTACCAAATTTTGCTATAAGTTTGATTACATCATATAATAATTGCTGTTAATAGTGTTCATCGTCTGTTTGATTACGTCTTTAATTGATTTTCCATACATTTCTGCCATGTGTACATTAACTGACAGTCACCACTAAGCTACTACTAAATATATTGTAGAAACGTAATTTTCTGTAAAGTTGCTTTGCAACGATTTGTATTGTGAAAAGCGCTATACAAATAAACTTTAATTGAATTGAATTTTAAGTTATTATTAAGTTATTTTTAGCATTTTTTTTTTGTTAAAAATACAGTAAAAATATTGTGAAATATATTGTGAAAAAACAGTTGTGGTTCTTAATATTTTTGTGGAAACCATGATACATTATTTCAGGATTATTTGATGATTTGATTCATTTATTTTAAATAAAAATCATTTGTAATATTATTAATGTATTTGCTGTCATTTTTTATAAAACAATGCAATGTAGCTTTCACATATATTTTTCAATTAAGTAAAAATTGCTTCAAGTTAATCAGACAATTTATTCAAGACGTAAACGGTCTGTAATAAAAATAAGTTACAAATTTCAGAGCTGATATAAAGTTGAAGTAAACAGTGTTGACTGTGTTTACATAAAAAATGTACACACGTGTAGCCGCTTGTCACAGAGTAATTTATGTGAGATTTTGTAACAAGCTGCCTTTCAGATTGAAATCACACAGTTTGAAATTACATTCAGTACTCAGTACCAAAATGCTGGTCCTTTTGACTTTCTAGGAAGTGATGCAGTAACAAAGAGTATACTTACTGTGAACAGTGACCCATCTTTTTTTTTTAAATGTGTCTAGATTACTCTCTGATGAAGATCCCTCAGAACTACAATCTGCACAGCTACCGGTTCCCCACACAAGGGAAGAGTTACATCTCAGTACCAGGAGAGGCCCTCACAATGCAGTGTGAGTATGCACATGTCTCAAAGCACAAAACCCTAAAAACTGGTGTTGATCCATGTCCCGATCCCACAGCTTTATGTTAATGAATGTTTATTACTGGAGTAGGCACATTTTATTTGATTTTATTTAGTGATTTCGCCAGACCAGGGTGCAGGTTGTCCTGTGCCGTCCTGGAGAACAGTGCCTGTCTATGTCGCCTATGCCATCCGCTACTGACTAATGTGATAAATCATGCTTAAAGTAGCAAACTTTATGCTTTTCCACTCGCTTAACCACAATTTAGCCATAATGTGCATAATGGAACAAACAAAACTTGGACTGGAGCGTAGACATATGAAATGGAATGGACTGCTAAACAAACTGCCAATCATATTTTCTTTTTTGAATAGAAGGTTGTTGTTCTGAATCATTCCTACCCAATTTAAACCCTGATTATGAGTAAATGTGCGCACACACTTCTCATTGCTTTTGGACACCTCAGGCTGGGGTGAAAGAACACATTGTTTTCATAAGAGGAGGATGAGGGACATTTATTTGTTGTCTGTTTATTTGTTGTTTATGGTTGAAGAGTACAGTGCAATCAACTCTGATGACTTCCTGCTGCTCTCTGACGAAAACTGCCTATCACACAAGTGCCTCAAGGGGAGTTTCATTAAAAACGGAGAAAGTGTGTGCGCTTGCCTTTTTTTAATGTATAAATGCGAGCTATAGTTGAAGAATGAGAGTTGCAATGTTTCCCATGTGGCGGCGGTAATTATGAGGGCATTAAACGTTTTGTTTGTTTGACACCGTTTTGGGGTCAGCTCCCCTCAGCTCCTCTGGCACGGTGCTGAACCTGAGCCCCGCTCCGTTCATTATAAACAGTTTTAATAATCTATTAAAGCTCTATTGTCAGAAATGGCACATAAACGCTAGCACTGGCATTCATGTGCCACTGAACCGCTTCTTCTGTGCTGCTGGACATATGGTACACTTCATTAACAGAAACTAGCAGAGCTTTTATACGCCAATTAAAGACCGCGAGAGAAGGGGCGCATTGAAACACTCTGTATTTCCGCTGGGCCAAGTTTCTTTTAGTCTTAATAAAAACATTTGTAGAGAGATTTTGCCCATTGGTTTGTGAGGTTATTGGCCCAGAGCTCATCTGAAGCCCAACTCAGAAGCGTTAGTTTGGGCACAGTGATATTGCATATTCGGTCCATTAACACCTGTAAAAACACTAATAAGTTGCAACAGTTCTCAGCATGTTTCACAGTAACCAAAACTGCAAATAAGCACCACTATGGTGCTCATCTAAAAAATGAGAAAAGCACATAATAAAATGACTCAAACCAAAACTAAAATTAAAATGAAAATATAAAATAAATTGTTTATTTAAATAACATTTACAGCTGCTTGCTCGATTTTTGTCTTGCTCAAATTGCTGAATAATTTTATTGCTTTATTAGACATCAGTTAATCAAGACATTTACAAAAAAATAAATAAATAAAAGGCACTCTTGAGTGTCTGGTGATTTCAGCATTTATTTTCATCTGCCACTGTGATCAGGTTGCTTTAAACTGGTTGTTGTTAATAATTGGCCTAGACTAATTTAAATGCCTCTAAGTGGTTTCTGTGCTCAACTTCTGCATAAAAAGCATGTTGTAAATGGTAGTATAATTAAATGTAATACTGTAAATGATACTTTGATCCCAATCACAAAGTAAATTATTTCTACAATTAATTGTGTGGTTCTAATTCAGGCACTGATGATATGATATTGCCAACAGTTGGTATATATACAAATATACAACAGTTATTTTACAAGGTTATTTACACAAAGTCTTCTGTCAAATTATGATAATAATGATTGTGTTTTCATGCGAATACAGAAGCTGAACTTAAATGAAAATGGCCATATGTATTTTATCATATAATGGTTGAAAAAGTTTTGAAGTAGAGTGTAACATATTTTCCCCTCACACAAGTGGTGGTCCCTCATCGCGCTCTTCTTGCGTGTGTGTGTGAACACACATCTTTCCCATTAGAGCTGCAGTGAGAGGAATGCATGCAGTGTCTGTGATAATGAGTCTATCCTCCCTGTGCATTTCAACGGCAGCACAACACATTCTTCAACACACACATGCATCTGTGTGATCAAATGTTAATACTTGTGTATGTTTCCCCCTGCAGCTCAGACCACGATCGTGGGACTTTTCTACCACAAAATGCACAACTACTACAAAAAAATCAGCCCTCTACAAACAAGGTAAAGTGTGTGTGTGTGTGTGTGTGTGTGTGTGTGTTTTTCCTGTTGTACATCATGTTCTTGCGAGCTTGTCTTTATTACTTTGGTTTTCTGTCATCTGGGCCTCTGCGTCTGATACTCCCAGCCATTAAGGCGACTGATAACACTCTTTCCGTCTTAACACAGCCATGATCAGTACTTATCTCAAATAATTTTTTGTTTGTTTGTTTGTTTTTTTTAGCACAGCTCTGGAACTCAGCTGGCCTCTTTTTTGTGTAACTGAACTGGCCAACAGAGCTGCTGCAGGGTAAAATCTTGTGAATGTCTAAACATTCATGAGAAACCAAAATAAAATTTATACAAATGCTATATGCGCTGTCAGTTATACAGTATTGTAGACTGCCAGTTTGTGCATTAGTGATGTGTTGTTCCTTACACCAGTAGGTGTCAACAAGAGATTGTCTTTATAAGTGAGTCAGTGAATCATTCATTCATCTGATTTGTTCAAAAACACTGATTCATTTAGCAAGGAAACAAGTGAGTCTTTGAATCATTCATTCAACTGATTTGTTCAAAAGCACTGTTTTATTTAGTCAGAGCTGGCCCAACCTAATAAGCTATATACGCGGTTGCATAGGGCCCCGTGGCCACCAGGGGGACCCATGTCAAGGTTCAGACAGTAATGCTCAGTAATAATAATATTGATAAAGTTTCAGTTGCGTGTGTTAATGTTTAAAAATGAAGAGGCGGCACTATAAAACTGGTGCTGACTGCAGAGAAGTGGGAAAAGAAAAAACAAAGTGAGCAAGGATTTTGAAAATATATTGTTTAAATGGCGGTTGCTGCATCGTGCTGCGAGTGCTTCGAAGACGTGCTGTGCCAATGGAAGAACAGGCTAATAAAAATTAATGGTATTGTTATCATGGGCCCTTCAAAATACGTGAATAATTCTAGAAATCTTATTATCCGAATGGTTTTGATTTTTAGAACGCACGTTTTCCATCGACCAGTTACAACACTGCACGTTTGCTGCATAAAAGTTCAGTCAGATTTTCTCATTGATTTGAACAAAAACAGTAGACGGGCTGAATAAAAATGCAAGTTCACTCACTCTCTGACAGGAGGTGGTGCTTTAGGAACAGCAGAAATACATCCGTTACCGTTGTTACCCCTGTACAAAGGAAGTCAAACAGTGTTTACATGTTTTCAAATAGCCATTCAGATTTTTTTATTCACTTTGGTGTTTATCAAATAATGTCAAATATTTAAATATGATTTAAAAAATCACAAGAAAGCAACAGTTAAATAAACAGTTAAACTTTTAAATAGTTATTTAAATGTCTAAATGTTAAATGTTTAAAACATTTTAAAAGTGCTTAATAAGTAAATATCTTTATATTTATGTATTGAAAGATAAATACTGAGTAGATTCTGATTAAGGCAGTTTGGGCATTTATACACCAGGGTTATTTTAGTTAACTAAAATTAAAAATATTAAAAATCATTTTGTTTCTTGAAATAAAATTAATTTTAGCTGAAATAAATTACTTAAACTCTTTTATTTTAGCTAGTTGATAAGGCAACATTTCCCATTTTCATTTAGTTTATCTTGATGTTCTAAAATAACTCAAATAAAATTGAATAACTATATAGGCATTGAAAAACAACAACAAACAATAAACTTACAAAAACTTTAACTAAAATCAAAATGACAGCAGAAAATATAAAAATAATTAAAAATATTAACAAAAACTGTAATAGTACACTCTAAAAAATGCTGGGTTGTTTCAACCCAATGTTGGGTCAAATATGAACTAACCCAACTGTTGGGTTAAAAAGCTAATTTAAAAATGTAACCAAAATTTAACCCAACAGTTGGGTTAGTCCATATTTGACCCAACATTGGGTTGAAATAACCCAGCATTTTTAGAGTGTACCTGAATGATACTAAAATAAAATTTCTTTAAAATAAGGTGTCAGTGTAAGATGTGTACAATGGGCGATGGGGGGGGGCCCTCTTTTGAAAATCTAGCCCTGCGTTTAGAAAACAAGCAAGTGAATGCATCTGAAATTGCATACTTCACTCAAATATTGAGTGGTGCAATTTCAGATGCAGCCTGTAGGTCATTAAATCACTCATTCAAATGATTTGTTCAAATTCTGTTACTTCCTGTTTAATGCTATGAAGCTGCTTTGAAACAATGTCTGTAGGAAAAAGCGCTATGAAAATAAATGTGACTTGACTTAAAAACACTGATTCATTCATTAAGGAAACAAGTAAGTGAGTCATTAGTTCAACAGATACATTTAGAAACACTGATTAACGCAGGAACAAAACAAACAGCACTACTGTTGCTCTGAGATGCTGAACAGTTGATTCTGCTGTAGTCTCGCGTAGCCAGACATTCAGACTGCCGGCAGAAGGTCTGGGAACCTTGGCCGCTTTGAATGGCCAAGGACCGCCCAAGAGGCCATGTGACTGACAGGTAAAGCAACCAATCACATTTCGTTTTGTGCCGCATCATGTTTAGGGGCGTGGAAATGTCCCCACAATAACAGACCGGTGTGTAAAACTGTTGGACGTATTTTCAAGAATCTGTACCGCAAACTTTACACATTTCACATGCTTTTGAAAATCCAGCATTTAGTCGATCCTGATAAACGCTCTGTTACAGTTGTAAACACAACGGCTTTCTTCTTCCATGAGGGGGTTTGGCGTCACAGCATATTTGTTTCCAGGTGGAACATTAAAGAATGCGAAACACGTCTCCCGAAAATCCTATAGAATTCAACCAATCAGATGACGACTTTGAAACTCCTAAAGCGTTTCCAATTTTGTGTGCCATATGCATCAGACGTTCAGCCAACGGTCCGTGGGTGTGACGTCTGAGGCTGTGGCTTAGTTTGGAACTATTTTCATTGGCAGAGCAAAATCAGACAATGTAACTGAATAATGTAACTGCCAGTGATTACCTCTTGTTTAATGAGCTGTTCTATAAAAACAAAATCACAATCTTGCTGTTGTTCTCTTTAGATAAGATTATTATTATCTTAATGCTATCATTATGTGTTATTATTGGTACGATATTAGTTCTTTGCAGATAGCTGTCATTAGCATCGTTTTCTTTGTTCATTATGTAGAGTTTGTACAGTAGTTGAAGTGTGGACAATAACTGACTGTCCGTCTCTGCAGGATAAATGAGGCAGTGGATTTTAAAGATCATAAGATCCAGATGGCCAGTCATCTTATTTCTCTGAAGGTGGAACCCTCTCCTGCCCTGTCACTCAACCTGTCCACTGAGCCGCTCATCCGGATCGTCCTCACGCATCAGCTGGTAGGAGAACATCAATCCTCACCTCATTTTGTTAATATTGGCGTTCAGTCAGGAGTGTGGGTGCTTGTGTGCATTTGTGTGTATAACAGTTATTTGGTATGTTTGGAAGATCATACATATTTAAAAAAATATATACAGTGGGTACGGAAAGTATTCAGACCCCCTTAAATTTTTCACTCTTTGTTATATTGCAGCCATTTGCTAAAATCATTTAAGTTAATTTTTTTTCCTCATTAATGTACACACAGCACCCCATATTGACAGAAAAACACAGAATTGTTGACATTTATGCAGATTTATTAAAAAAGAAAATCTGAAATATCACATGGTCCTAAGTATTCAGACCCTTTGCTCAATATTTAGTAGAAGCACCCTTTTGATCGAATACAGCCATGAGTCTTTTTGGGAAAGACCCAACAAGTTTTTCACACCTGGATTTAGGGGACTAAGATGACGTACAAAAATGTATACAACAACAGCTTTAGGATCAAGCAGAAAATTCAACCAACCATTTCATTTAGAAGTGAGCTGATCAAACACACTCACACTCATCAACCAACATCTGGCTTTCAGCAAATCAGTTAGACCGAATGCAATTAACATAAATTCATATTAATGACCGATCTGGCCGGGCAGATCCAGCACCAAGCTGGTGAGAGAAAGTAAATTTCCAGAGGAGAGAAGATATGCACAACAGAAAAGAAGAAAAGTTGTTTTTGACAAAAAATATAACTTTTTACAGTCATAGCTGTATCAATATTTTATGCCTAATTTAAGTTGCTAGAGTATCTGATGGTTTTGGAAGCTTTCAAATAGTATCTTGTGTTTCCATGGCAAGTGGTCATTTAAAACAGTGTCATGCATGTGAAGAAAGACTGGTGAGATTTCTAATGCATCCCCACACATTTTAGGCCATTTGTGACAGTGTATTCTGAACATTGAGGTTTGATTGATACATAGATTTATTCTGAGACTTTAGTCTAACCAGAATCATCCCTTTATATTTCTTAAACGGAACAGAAATTATTCTAATTAGTTGTAGGAAAACTTTCAAAGACCAAAAAACTTTTTTTTTTCTTTTCTTTTTTTTGTTGTTGCTGCTGTCACTGTGTTTGTGGTTGTGTCTTTCGGTGAGCCCCAGAGTTCAGAACTGCCAGGACTAACCATGGAAATCCATTTCGGTTTGCATCATTCCTTGCACATTTTTTTTCAGCTCTGAAACATCTAGAGCTTTGCTCCAAAAGAAAAGTGGTTCTGAATGCTGGAGCCATAAGCCTTGAGGTCTTTTGAGAAGGGAAAGATGATTTGGTTTAACAAGGAGTTTATTTGGCATGTGTGCGCAGATGCTAAGACTCGGTTGAGGATGCATCTGTCTGCCAAATTTCCATGGGAAACCCATCAAAAATGGATACAGATGGCATGTAGACAAGTCAACCAATACAGCATGTTTTTGGAGAGTATTTGCTAAAAAAAACAAGGAGTTCACCGTAGCATTGGATTTCACACACCACGTTACACGCGTTATTCATCAGCTAACCCACATTTGACAGCTCACTATGCTCTTGACCGTTATATAAGATCTGCTAACCTTTGCATTCTGTCATAACCCTTCTTAACAAAGACTTGTTTCATTAAATAAACAAGAAACTCATATACAGCACAATACCCTCAAAGAAAAAAAATTATTTAAATGAGCAGTCGTTTATTTTTTCATTGTTCTTTTAAAAGCATTTTTAGAGCTTTCCAAATCAAAACCATGATGGCATGCATGTAACTATAGAGACTAGCGTTTGTTTTGCTGGCTTTTTATGGTTTTGTGAGAGATGTTTATTTCGGTGATGTTTGTTGATGGAAATGTGTCTTTGTACAAAGACCCATTATGCTGAATAAAAGGAGCCTGCTAAAAGAGTAAATCCAGAAACATGTAAAAAAATTTAATTCTGTCATCATTTACTCACCCTCCACATGTTTCAAACCTTGTATGAACTTTCTTCTGCTGAATATTGGGAACCAAACAGTTAACAATAGCCATTGACTTTCCAGTATATACAGTATATATATTTTTTTATTTTGCATGTCCGTGCTACACATTATTCAGACATTTTAATTTCCTTTAGTTATAGTTTGAGTGATTGTCTAATTAATCCTGGGGCACTGGCTTCCTATGTGTGGGACTGTCCAGAACAGAGGCATTAGTGTCAGACCAGTGTTTCTTGAGTAATGTATGTGAGCTGAATCACTAGATCAATAATCTGTCACTGCATATGTGATGGAGTACAGTGATAAGACTGTTTAAGATAATGGTCTCTGTGTTGTGTTTTAGCCAATGTCTTGTTAGGTAGAATGATTCAACTACCGTTAAACATTAGTGAATTCAATATAAATTGTCTGTGGTTTTTTGGAGGTTGTCGCCGCTTCTCATGGGAAATTCTCCCTGTGATCAGAGCGAGATTTGTGTTGGTTTATTGCCTTTGAAATACACTGGAGATTTGCAAAGCTACATATTTTCAAAATCAACTGTTTAAGGAGTTGTTTGAATGACTAGTCAACTATTTGGTCTTAAGTAAGCCCTTTATAATAAAGTAAATTTAGGATCATGTTCAACAGACACCGTTCAGGTGCATTTCTTTGCAATAAATGCTACCATGCAGTTTGGGGTCTGTAATTTTATTTATTATAATGTTTTTATTTGTTTCTTTTTAAAAAATATATTTTTTAAATGTTTCTTATGCTCACTAAGGCTGCATTTATTTTGATCAATAATTATCAAACTTTTTAGCAGTAGATATGAACACTAAATACAGCCATTACTGAAGTCTGACAATTATTGTTTTAATTGTAATTTATTGTTCAAGGCAGTGGATTTGTTACAAAACAGGTGCTTTGATGGCTATAGCTTGTCGTCTGGCAGTGGACTAGTTTACTCTTAATTGTTTAACAACCAACTTGTCCATTTGTAAATTTAAAGGAGATTAATATAGATGCAACTTTCCTTAAAATAGTGTCTCAATGTGTTTTACGCTTTAAAGCGCTGCCACTAAAATATTAAAGATAAGCAGTTGTTGGATGGCTAGTTAAACATCCTGACCCATCCATAAACTACAAAGACTGCAACCTAAGCAACAATCGAGAAACTAAATGCAGCAATATCCTCATCTCATCTTTCCATCTCTTTTCTCCTTTTCTTCCCTCTCCACTCCTCACCTGTCTGGTCTCTCACTGGCACGAGGTGAACAAATGGAAAGAGTGATTTCATGAGGAATGCTGGCGATGCTCAGTGTCAAAATCAAGAGGATTAAAAAAAAGATTTCTGACAAGCTCTCCCTGCATTTACAACCTAATAAAGCTTCAGCGGAGCAGACACGAAACAGAGACGCCACACATACTGAGCGAGAGTGTGCATCTGTCGCGCTGTGTGTGAACGTGTACTTGCACATATGTTTACACTAACCAAAGGCATTACTAGAGGCTGTTTATTAATTTTAATACAACGAACCTCCAAATTCGATGTGCATATGAAGTAGCCTGGACATTATTGGTGAATGGTACTGGACACAAAACCACATTCACATGAACACAGCACAATGGATGATCCATTGTGCTGTGTTCATGTGAATGTGGTTTTGTGTCCAGTAAAGATGTTTATGGATGAATTACTGAACCGCAAGCAGTTTTTTGACCAGAAAGTATTTCCGCTGTGGTTCAGATATAATCACAGATTCACACAGTCCTAATACAACTTGTAAAAAATCTCACCAATTCTGACACACATTCTGATGGATGACTGAGTACTTTTGTTGTCCACATAGTACAGTTAGGGTTTTTAAAGGTACAATAATGAGCAGTGCTCACCGCCAGACCATTTTTATAACTCGCACACCCAATTCCTGTCTGAACTCACTCACTCAAGCGCCTGCTTACACACTCCCTCGCTCACACAATTTTCAATACTAACTTAAAGAGATTGCAGTCTGTCAGTCATATAATGGAAGTGAATGGGAATCACGGCTTTGAGAGTCAAAAAGACATACACAAACAAAACCAAATTAAACCCTGCAGCTCGTGACGATACATTAATGTGTAAAGACACGAAACGATCAGTTTGTGCAAGAAACTGAACAGTATTTATATAGTTTTTTACCTCTGATTCACCGCAATGTCCGAACTGTCCTGAGCGCGTTCTCAACAGCCGGCGCGTGACGCGTCTTCTTCTTCTTGCTTTACGGCAGATCACAGACTTATAAGTGCATTACCGCCACCTATCTCTCAAATGGACAACTGACACTCTATCTACAATCTCAATAACTGACAGACTTCAATGGTTTGAGTTAAAAATCTTCGTTTGTGTTCTACTGAAGAAACAAAGTCACCTACATCTTGGATGCCCTGGGGGTAAGCAGATAAAAATCTGATTTTCATTTTTGGGAAATGAAATGAAATCTTATCACAATTATTTTTCATGTTTTGCAAGTTACTGAGCAGTACAGCCAAACTAATTTCCCTATTTAAAAAATAAGAGACTATTTAGGCTAGGGGTGATTAGGCTAGTATTATTGTGAAATATTATTACAATTTAAAAGAACTGTTTTCAATTTTAATATACTTTTAAATGTAATTTATACCTGTGATGGAAGCTGAATTTTCAGCAGCCATTACTCCAGTCTTTAGTGTCACATGATCATGATCATGTTCTAATCTGCTGATTAAATGCTTAAAGGGATAGATCACCCAAAAATACACTTTATTTAGCTTCAAAACCCCGACCACCATTCACCATTCATGCCATTATAAACCTTGGAAGAGGCAGGACATTTTTTTAAATAACTTAGATTGTATTCATCTGAAAGAAGAAAGTCACACCTAGGATGGCTTGAGGGTGAATAAATCATAAGGGAATTTTCATTTTTGGTTGAACTATCCCTTAAATATATATATAAACAGCTGTGCTGCTTCATATTTTTGTGGAAATCACTCTTTCGCTCACTCATTGATTAACTCGTTCACTCCCTGACTCATTCATTCAATCTCACCTTCATTCACCTATTTACTCAATCATTGATTGCTCACCCATTCATTTATTCAAACACTCACTCAGTCACTCATTCTTCTCCAATCTTTCTTTAAATGTGTCTTTGAGTTGGTCTGGCGTCCCCCTCTGTCTTTATTTCCCCTTCCTCTCTCATGCTTTCTCAGATGAATCAATATAATCTATAGCAGATGGTCTGGCTCAACCGATCCTGTTGTAGCCAACGGCTGCGGATTGTGTGGCCTCCTCCTTTTTTCCCTCTCCGTATCTCTCTCTTTCTTTCCCTTTGCCACTCTTGTACTCTAAAATGCCTGCAAATTTAGACTTACACTGTTAGTTCAGCCTTGCCTTGTTACTCTAACAGTTAAATCTTGAAAAACAAGATAACTTATAGAAAACTTATAGAAAAAAAGCTTGTGTTTCTTCAATATTATGATAGAAATACCACTAAGCTCTTAAAATGTCCCCACACGATCACCTGAGCACGTTCCACTGCATATTTAGCCTTGACTGGATCCAGGTTTTAGTGTTCCACAGAGGCTTCAACCATTTGCTAGCTTTTTCCAGAGATCCAGAGGACGTCCTACAACCGGCTGACCCCTCTCTGGTTTTCTGCTCTCACCATGCAGAGCTGGTGTTATACAGCCTCAGTCTCACCCAACGTCAGCCGAGTCTCACCGCATGGATGTAGGGATATTTATGAAGATACACGTGCACTTATTAACCTTTGAGATGCGCTCTCTCTTAAAGTGTTTCTCGTGCTAATGATTCTGATTCTCATTCGTAGCTGACAAAAAACAAGACCTGTTACTTTTAACTTTTTAAATGACCCAAATCCATAAGGATTCAACATTTTGTGGCAAAACAAAGGGAAAATGATTGAAAGTGGCATAGATATAGGTCAAACGCAATTGTTTTATTGCAGTATAACGTACTATTACAGTATATATAACAGTGACTGTTTATGTCACTGTTTGTGGGCAGGAACTTTTCTCATGGATTATAGGCCATGATCAAGAATAGCCAAGTATAAAGCGATCACAACAGCATATATTGAAGCTAAATTTGTGAGAATCAGTTTAAAGTTTGTAGTTAGCACTCCTACACAGTGATCCATGCTTACTTGGGTAACACCGGTTCAGATCTGGCTTGCGATATTTCCTGTTCCTGTCTCATTTCCAAGTTTTTGATGGAACAGATCTCTACATTTTCAGTGACTTTACAAGTACATTATTCTTTGTCTACAGAAGCAGCTGCTCTAAATTACAGCCCAGCCTGTTCATAGATGTATGTAATTACAGAGCCTGTGAATAGAACGGGAGAGACACCGAAAACCTACATTTACTTTTCACCATTTAACTTCTGTGTTAAGCTTGGACTACGCTCCTCTGGGATTTAAATTTAGCCCAGCCAGGCTTTATTTAGATTGAGCAGTTCTTTAAATATACCCAAGTGCAGTGCCATTAACCAGCATACCAACAGCAGCGTGTTTCATATGGTGTGTAACAGGGTTTGGTCTCAATCAGAGAGAATGTGTGAGGAGATGTTTAGCAGGCCCTTCCCAACATGTGCTTTTGCGTATGTGTTTGAGGAAAAAAGAGAGACATTGTGTGAATAAGAAGTATTTAAAAGCACAGTCCATCAAAAAATGTTATGCCAAACCTGAGTATTTTTTCTAATTTACTTTATTTAACTAATAAAAATCTTATTGATCCAGAAGAATTGTAAAATAGTATATGAGACATTTTGAACAGCTTTTTGGCTGCTTTTTTTTTAGAGAACAGACCGCTATTTAACTGCTCTTTTAACACTTGGGAAATTCTGTAGGCTTGTTTTTGTGTTGCATAAATGAAATATAGATTTTATTGTACTGCTAGAGCTCAGTTTTTCCTTCAGTTAGTCAGTGGGTTAGTCATAAAAGTCAGGCATCAAGGGTACTGTCCCAAAAGCATAGACACAATACTCCCACTTCTCTATCACACTGTAAGCCCTTCAGATTCCCACTGCTATTGCCTTTTTAAGGTAAAGTTATAAATTATGATGATATATGTATGCGTAAGGGCAGATGAGAACCCCAAACCTCTCATATTTAAAGCCGAAATGTTATGAAAGGGGCAGAAATGGGAATGAAGTCAAATTAATCCAATCAAATAAAAAAATAATTAAGTTTATTTGAGTGCTTGAATAGGTCAGCATGACTACAGAAGTCACAGTGCAATGAGAAATTTATTTTAAAAAAATATTTAATGTGCTGTTGTTTTAATTCTTTTTTTAAGTATTTGAATATCATATTATACTATGTACAGCTAGAATATTGCTGATAATATTATTACCTATTATACACCACCGGTCAAAAGTTTGGGATCAATACGATTTTTTAAGAAGAAATTAATACTTTTATTCAGCGACGATGCATTAAATTAATTAAAAGTGACAGTAAAATCATTTAAAATGTTTCACAATATTTCAAATTTTAAATAAATGCTGTTCTTCTGAAAATTCTATTCATCAAAGAATCCTGAAAAAAGCTGTATGTGCACAAAAATATTTAGCAGCAACATTTTGTTGTTCTGTTTTCCACATTTATAGTAATAAATGTTCCTTGAACAGAAATCATTCTGGTATTTGAGCAGTTGCTGAAATTTCAGCTTTTTACCACAGGGATAAATTACATTTTAAAATCTAAAAAAACAGAAAATAGTTATTTAAGTAAGGGATAATCAACTGTTTGCTGTGCATTAAAGGATTTTAAATGCACGACGTGGAGGCCAAGAACCACCCGACGCGAAGTCGACTACCCGACTGCTTGAATGAATTATCAATCGAGAGAGAGATGACAGTTGTGTGTGTGAATTACCTGCATATGTGCGTCTCTCTCTGCAAACAAGGAAGCTGTTTAGTTATGCTATTTTATTAATAAATGTCGCGGGGCAGCACCGGTAATAAGTTTCTGTGTGTGCGCAGCGCAATCTGCGATCTCCAACCTCTCTCCCTCTCACTGTGTGTGTGCGAGTAGTGTGTGTGTGTGCATCAATTAAAGCAGCGCATTAATATAGAACGGAGTGTTGTCACGGTACCAAAATGTCAGTATTCGGTACCAATACCAGTGAAAATCCACAGTTCTTGGTACCAATATCGGTACCAAAGCAAAACACAAAACCATGCTAATTAAAAAATTTGACTATACTTTCATTTAATCCAAACTGTGTACATATTTAATTTGAAAGGGCTTTTGAAAACCTTCTAGAGTTATTCAGCCAAGAATAACAACTAACTTATGCTTAGCCACGCTTATGCTAACGATTAACTACTCTAATAACAGCGTTCATTTCAATCTGACATTCAAATTAAAATATTGAATAATATTCATAACAGAAGCGGTGTTTCCCACAGACTTGCACTCTTATTTGTGGCGGCGTGTAAATGCAAATTCATTCTCTGCCAGCAGGAGGCGCTTGTAGAGCGGGAGAGATCGAGGTTTCCCCAGTAACGCTGTAATCAAATAAGTGCTGCGCTCACAAACACTGCTCTGGCATTGCAGGCAAGATGAAATATTTATTCATATGAATGAAATATCTTCATAACATCCATAATTTCCTGAAGACAGTCGGTTTCCTTCAGAAATACAGTGATATAAAAAGACTCGCACTGGGTTTCGACTTTGACACAGTGCTCATGTTTATTCAACGAAGTCAAAGTATTTGTGGCGGTCAGTTTAGATATTGTGGCGGGCCACCACAAATAAATCAATGTATGGGAAACACAATGAAACTTACCTGCTTGAACTTTCACTTGATCTGGGTGTCTGTCTTTAAAGTGTTTTGTTAGTTTGGTATGTTTCCTCTTGATGTCACCACGTCTCAGTGCTTTTATGAAGAGAGCGCATCTGTGCACCTTTCGGATAACACATCAGGAATCGGATTGACCGGGTACCACCGGTACTTAAAAAAAACCTGGTACCGTAACATTTTATTTTTTTAGTACCGACTTGGTACCGAAGTACCGGGTCTTTTGACAACACTAATAGAACGGTGATTAAACGGACTTGGAACTACCTGTGCATTAAACGGTTTTAATGCATACCTACCAGCCAATCAAAATTGAGTATTCAGACAGACCATGGAATAAAATAATAGTATTTCATAATATTACTGTTTTACTGTATGTTTTGATCAAATAAATGCAGCCTTGGTGAGCATTTTTTTTTAATCTTGCCAACCCTAAACTTTTGAAAGGTAGTGTTAATGGTAGGGGTATTAATTGTAAATATTTATGTTAAATTATGTGCATGTTTTAAAAAATAATCATGAGCTAAGCCTTTGCCATGTTGTGATGTTACAGCCAGCACATCTGTGTACCTCCCACCCTAAAACGGTCCCCAGTGGATGGAGAGATCACTCACTTGGGTGCGAAGTGTGAGGAAGTTTGGCACCCACGTGAAGCTTTCAGGGGAACTTTGAAAAAGACCCAAATAGAGCAAAGCTGTGAGGTTGTTTTCTATTAACTTCTGGCACATTCTGGTGGAAGAAGTCTCATATTTTGACAAAAGAGATGAGAGGCGGGCTAAATCAGAAACTATTTTACTCAATTATTGTGACTTTTGGTGATTTCGAAAAATTTTAACCGTATTAAACCAAATCCACAGGGCTCAACCCAGCTTACATGCCTTATGATCCTCGATTGTTGTCCAAAACCATAAATTTCATCCAGAATGTTGATCCATATTCACATTATTGTCATTCTCCACATTCCTCTGAGCGACACACAGTACAGAGGCTCGCATACGCTTGGAATTAAACATCATCCAATCAGGAGAGAAACTGACACACCAGTTGGCGATGTTGACTGTGTAAACCATTCCATCAGCATGACAGGGATGAGTGTTTTCTGCTTAATTATGAACACATGTCACTCAGGCTCTCTGAATAGACCTGATGTGTGATTACTCATCCTGCTGCCATCTGATAGGCCGGTGAGAATGATGTCATAGCAGCTGCCAAATACCCCAAGCACCCCCCAAAATCAAAGGTTACATAACATGTAGCCAACGTTTAACCCCTACAATGAGTTTTACCAGTACAGTTCTCAGTGGCTATACTCGAGGACTCCTTCCAAACCTGTACAAGCTTGTGGTTAATTTCTCATTTTTTAAAAAACTACTTAATGACCTACCTGTGTTTTTGCGGGTATTTTAAGTGTGATTTTGTTCTTTCTGTCTTTAGATAGGTTAGAAAGGGAGCTCCTCCAATACTGCGTGCTCTTTTGTAAGTCCTTTGTTGTTAATAAAGTGTTGGAGTGCTTTCACACTTCTCTGGCAAGTGCCGAGCGCTGCGGGGCAGGGGGGAGCCGCAAACACCAAGCCAACTTCATCTGTGTTCATTTGACTGGAGAGAGAGAAAGAGACTTGCTGATGGAGCTGTAAAAATTACCTGCTTTTTTAGTAATGAGATTTTGGCCTAGAGAGAGAGAGTGGCATGGCAATAGACTCTGAAAGAGAAGTGTAAGCGAGTGAAAGTGAGAAACTTTGGGGAGCGCAGAGGAGAACCGCACCCATAGCCGCTCTTCTCTGCTCATCACACAGCCTGTCTTGTCCCTGTCAGTATGGCTCAAACTTTCCATCTGCTCGCACTTAGACTTTTGTCTTGTGGAATATTGTATTCTGACGCAAAACAGTGCCCACAAAAATTGGTGTAGAAGCAATTTTTACTCCGAAATTGCAAATTAATTGGTGTGTGTATATATATACAGTATATATATATATATATATATATATATATATATATATATATATATATATTTATATCTCCACTTGTGGCTATGCAGAAAAACCTGAAAAATAGTGGAAAATGTTTTAAACGATATGTTGATATGATGGTGTCCTTTAAAATATACTTATAACCACCATAATAACACAACAACATTATATTATTATATTATATTATTATTATATTATTAGTTAAACCACCTTCTTAAATTAATTAAAAGGTTCAGCAAGAGTGATTTGGAAAATGCCACAAACTATGTTTATTCCACAACAAATGCCTATTGTTTATTCCTATTGAAAATGCCACAAACGATGTTTATTCTGTCCAAATAATTTGACAGGGTTATTAGAGTTAAAACTAAACTTAAAATAAAAACCATAATAAACATTAACTTTGCACTTTGGATGGGTAAATGCAGAGCACTAATTCCAAGTATGGGTCACCATACTTGGCCACATGTCACATCACATGTCACATCACTTAATATCAAATATTTAAAAACTCCAACTTCCTTCAACTATATAGTTGCCAACATTTCTTATTTTCTAACTTAATGTACTAGAATAACTAAAAATAAAACTGAAACAAAAAATTTATAAAAACTATACACACACACATATTTTAAAATAAACACAATAACTAATATGACAACAACACAAAACTAAATTACCAAAACTTTAGCTAAAATTAAGATAAAATCACAAAATATACAAATAAAAACTAATTCAAAATGTTACTGAAAACTATAATAGTATCTTAAAAACACTGTCATCAGAAAGTGTCACGTTATCGTTTAGCTTGTCATCCTGTGTGCTCCTCAACACTCACCACATTAATAATGATATCTGTATTGCTATCTGCTGTCAAACGCAGCCACAACTGGTTCACATTTTGAATGTTCAGGGTTGTTTTGTTCTCCCGATTCTCTCTGGATGATGTCCTAGAGGAAGTTTCCGAGCTGTTTCCGAACATCCTTCATCCACTTTACCAGCTCGTTTCCATTCCCGCTGGAATATTGGGTCTGTTCTTTACTCCATCCTGATATACTCATTCATGCTGTCATGGATGTTCTGAGAGTCTGATTAATGAAAAGAAATGAAAAGCGTTCTTGTTTCTGAGTGTATATATTTATTTGAAAGGACTGTGCGTGTATTTGTGAATGTTTTGAAATCTCACCTATTGATATATTCAGCAATATTGCACCACTGATACTGCAGCAGTCTGAGAAGGACTTTACTGTGTTATGATTGTGATGTTTACTGTGTTGTTCCCTGTCTTTCAGAGTAAAGAACAGCAGCTCCAGGCCTCAAACCAAAGTAATAAAGTGTTCTTGTACTGCGCCTTCCTGGACTACAGGTGGGTTACACAGATTCAAATATGTATTTATGCACACAAATGTTGATTTATATTTATATAGCCAAAAATTTAATATTGCCCTTCATTCACATTGACAGGCATTTTGGGATGCCGCTTTGGTGCTTGTATGCTTGTATGTTTTTTTCTTACTCGATATATTTCAAATTTCGAAAACATACGAAAACTCAATGCATTTTAACTTAACTTAATGTGTTTTAACAATACTTTAATATAAAAGTTTTATCCAATTAACAGTTTTTTGGTAGCTTTTTCTTACATACTTTTTCTGTTAAACCTATTAAGATTGCAGGGTGGGACTCATGTTTACATTTTTAGATATTTTTAAAACATCTTTCACTTTTTTTTATGGTCTTTTATATTCCCAGCTTTCACCCTCAATGTCACTGTTCTCGGATATTTATGCAGTCCTTCCTGTATATTCTCTCTCGCCCATCTATCTCTCTCCATCTGTCATTTTTAGTGCCTCATTTCACATTTCCTGTTAAAGGAGTAGATCACTTCCAGAACAAAAATGTACAGATAATGTACTCACCTCCTTGTCATCTAAGATGTTCATGTCTTTCTTTCTTCAGTCATAAAGAAATTATGTTTTTTGAGAAAAACATTTTAGGATTTCTCTCTTACAGATAATGTACTCACCTCCTTGTCATCTAAGATGTTCATGTCTTTCTTTCTTCAGTCGTAAAGAAATTATGTTTTTTGAGAAAAACATTTTAGGATTTCTCTCCATATAATGGACTTCTATGGTGCCCCAGAGTTTGAACTTTCAAAATGCAGTTTAAATGCAGCATCAAAGGGCTCTAAATGATCCCAGCCGAGGAAGAAGGGTCTTATCTAGCGAAACGATCGGTTATTTAAAACAATTTTTTTTACAATTTATATGCTTTTTAACCCCAAACACTCTTCTTGTCTAGCTCTGCGTGAACTCAGTTTTTTCAGTTCATGACAGTTAGGATATATCGAAAAACTCCCATCTCATTTTCTCCTCCAACTTCAAAATCATCCTTCATCGCTGCAGAAGTACCAACCCAGTGTTTACAAAGAGAACATGCAAAAAAGGTCAAACGCCCTTTATAAAAAACTGTAAAACAGCGATGTAGGACGATTTTGAAGTTGGAGGAGAAAATGCCATTTTTAGACCTTTGATGCTGCATTTAAACTGCATTTTGGAAGTTCAAACTCAGGGTTTTCCTCAAAAAACATAATTTATTTACGACTGAAGAAAGAAAGACATGAACATCTTGTATGACAAGGGGGTGAGTACATTATCTGTAAATTTTTGTTCTGGGAGTGAACTACTCCTTTAAAGCTTGTCAGGAAGTGCTTTAATATATCAATGTGTGTCTTATATTTATGTCCCACTGTAATCCAATTACCTATGTAAGAGCCAGAAATAGGTAATGGCTATACATTTAGCACATCAACATTGTGATTTCCAGCAATTTTTTTTAAAGAATGGAATTTGCAGTCTAAATCTTTCTGTCTTTCTTCCAATTCATCATTCAAACATGTCATTTAGAAATTATGAAAGTCTGTTTTTAATATAAAAGCAATTTTATACTATAATATCTATGCCCGAAAAATCACTTAAAGCCAATAAACGAAGCCAATTTGAAACCGAGCATGTTTGATTTGGAGTGAGAGCCTTTGTTCTTTTGTCTTCTCTATCTCTCATTCTTTGTCATGCTCGTCCGCTCTTTCTCCCATGAGGGCATTTAATAAATGACTGCATCTATAATGGAATGATGAAGCTGGAATATTTGCTCTCATTGAGATTAATTGGATCTTGCGTTAGTTTTGATTTAGTTTAGATCTGATTTGATTAATAACTCGCTGGTAATTCCATTAACACTGGGCGAGGGTGTGGATGTGTATGGTTTCAATATAAACAATGAACAACTCCAGCAACTGTAATGCTCAATTAAACCTGTATGTATGTGTGTGTTTCAGCTCCAAAGAGGGTGTGTGGTCCAACGAGGGGTGTGTGAGAACTGATGGAAACCTGTCCTTCTCTATTTGCTTGTGTAACCATCTGACCAACTTCGCCATCCTTATGCAAGTGGTTCCCATAGAGGTGAGGCACTCTCAGTGTGACTCTTTCTGGTGCCAGTTTTATTTTGTGCTATAGATGAATTACCATTCGTCTTGCTGGCTTTGGCAAGATGTTAAGTTAATTCAAATAATTCAAGAACTTAACAGCTCATTCTGTGTGTGTGTCTCTTTAGGTTTTACACAATTATGTCTACATGTTCCATGGAGAATTAAATTAATTGTTGTGACAGTAAAGTCATTTATGTTTCTATTTCAAATAAATGCTTTCCTTTTAGACTTTCTATAAATCCTTAGAATCCTGAAAAATATCTATTTAAAAATCTTACCAACCCCAAACTGTTGAATGGATGTGTATATACTTTTTTTTTTTTACAGTTTTGCAAACTTAGGAATAACGCATTTTACAGCTTAGTTGCTTTCATCAGTATTGATTCTGCAAAGTTTCACCATGAGAGCCCCATTTTAAGATTCCGTTTCAAGTAAAACAAGCATTCAGCTTTAAAAAAAACACATCTTGAGACCTCTGTGATTTTCTCCATTTTATCAGGCTTCATCTATCTGTTTTGAATAAAATCTGTCCTCGCTCAGTCATATAATCATCTCCTCTGGAGCTTTGATGCTAATGCCCACCTCTGCCGGGGCCTCAATTAGCGGCTCACCTCAATACTTCAAGCCTGGAGGAAATCGTGCTTTCTCCACCGCAGATCCTCGATATTCTGGGCCCTCGATAATCACAAGGCAGGAAGCGGAGTTAATGTACAATCGAACCCACGCATGGAATAGAATTACTATTAACAATACAGCTCTATATTCTGATGGATGTTCAGGAATAAATCTGTTTACTCTCTTCACCAACAGATGCTTATAAGGTGTAGCATGCTATCTAGCACGTATCAAGTCATGATTACAGCAAATGAGGCTCTATAATGTCAAATTTTGATGTTTTGAGGTGGTTAATACCAGATCATCAGTTGTAGAAGTACAGAATGAGACGTTTTCAATGCTTAGTTACGATAAAAGCGATAAATTAATTTCTGATTTTAGCTTAATTTTCTCATTTTTAGTAGTGATGTTTTTTGTTAGAGTTTTCAGTGTTTTTGAAGGAAGTTTCTTACGCTCATCAAGGCTGCATTTATTTGATCGAAATACAGTAAAAACAATAATTTTGAGAAATATTACAATTTAAAAGAAGTATTCTATTGTAATTATTTAAAAATGCCATTACTCCAGTCTTCAGTGTCTCATGATCCTTCAGAAATCATTCTAATATGCTGATTTGCTGCTCAAGAAACATTTCTTCTGTTTATCAATGTTGAAAATAGTTGTGCTGATAAATATTTGTTTATAAAAACTGCAATACATTCTTTGATGAATAGAAAGTTCGATACGACAGCATCTGAAATAGAAATCTTTTGTAACATTGTAAATGTCTTTACTGTCACTTTTGATCAATTTAAATGCATAATTTCTGAATAAAAGTATTAATATCCTTAAATACATAAATATATTACTGACCCAAATCTTTTGAACAGTATCATATAACAGGTTCTAGAAAAGAGAAATCTTGAGGATTAATGTGTAGAGAGACCGAATGTAGAGATATTTTTAAACATAACGCAAGCCTGGGGCTGTTACTGTTCATCTTTTCTCAACCGACGGTCTACCATGTCTGTGAATAGTTAGTGCTCTCTATATATATATTTTTTAAAAATGACTTGTTCCAAGAAATGATTTAATTGATTGTCAGACTCGTGCAGGTTTGTTCTGATGAAATGATCTTGAAATTGTCAAGTCATTTAATATTATACGAACATCAATCCCAGTACAGCTGGTCATCGCTAACCTTTGACTTTACAATCAGTGGATTGTTGCTGTGGTATTCAGTGTTTCTTATTTGTAGTAACGTCTGGGGTTTTCAAAACATTTAACCCTCTTCAGTGCTGTAAACTAAACCAACTTCAGCCATTTTCATCATCTCATTGCCTGTGCTGTCATGTTTGTCTCCACCTCAGCTCTCAAAGGCCCACCATGTGGCGCTGTCCACCATTAGCTACATCGGCTGCTCTATCTCTATTTTCTGTCTGGCAATTACACTGGTCACCTTTGCTGTCCTGTCGTAAGTATCCCACAGTGCTCTGAGAACATGCAGGATTTTAATCTACTATTTAAATATGGTCAAAAAAGTTTTGTTCACATGGCTAAACTTCTCATTTGCATTTATCAAATATAATAACTTGCAATTTCAATTAATTAAACACTAAAAGCGTTTAATGTTTTTGCACCATTACTATTACAAATGTATCTGGGTTTTTTTTGTTTTTTGTTTTTTTCTGTCCATACAGGTCTGTTAGCACCATCCGTAATCAGCGTTACCATATTCATGCAAACTTGGCATTTGCAATCTTAGTCGCTCAAATCCTTCTGCTCATCAGTTTCCGCTTCAATCCCGGCACGGTGAGTCCATCTAACACTCATCTTAAATCAGTGATTCTCAGCCGTTTTGATTTTGAAGGCCCTCTGTTGTCCAACACAATAACAGATAACATAATAATAAGAACTGTATGTTCTTCAACTAAAAATAATAGTTATATAGGGAAAATAAAAAGAAAGTTGATTTCATGTTTTGTTTTTTGTTTTTCTAATTTGCATTTTTAATATATTAATAATAATTTCTTAATTTATATACTTTTAAGTCATCCCTGTTATATTATGAAGTCCAGTATTATTTTAGTATTATTTATATACTATTAGATTTTTATTAATAATTTGAATTGGCTTTTATTTATTTTTTTATACTCTCAATTTTCATTTTCATTTTAGTTACATTTTTAGTCAGTTTTGTTATGTGCATTTGACTGTTAATCAGATGTTACTAATCAGGTTTAATTTAGTTTTATTTGAGTTTTAGTTCAGTTGTAGTTTTTATTTATTTTACTTGTTGCATTGGCAACTAACTGAAAAAAAATTTTGGTTTTCCATCTAATATTTATATTTATTTTATTTCAGCTTTATTTTAATTAACAAAAATGTTTTAGTTCAAAAATAATCATTAACAAAAATTGTTTTAGTTAATGATAATAACCCTGATTATGTCATCCTTGTTAAGAGCCACTGTAGAGCACAGTTCTGCTTTAAAAACAGCTGTGAAAAAAATTTATTAACCAAAATTAAAATGAGAGTATCCACACAAATATTGTTGGAAGATGCTTGCTTATGAAATGTTCGAATTAAATCAGCATCTCATTTACAGTATGTGTCGTATCGTCATCAGTATCAGAAACAGCATGTTGTCATTACATAAAGAAATCTAATAAGGTGGAAAGAGCCAATGACTCCACTCATTTCCTAACATGCCTCCGGCATTACGGACAGATTCATTTGACACTTCGTTCATTTGATTGTGCTTCCTCTGTCTGAGGACTTGGCTGAAATCTTGCTATGGTCATTTCAGTGTTGAGATCACTGAGCTCAACCACTCTGTCGCCCATATGTTTATTTTAACAACATGTGTTACATTAGCTAAGATTCACAAAGTAGATCAGTTTTCGGAGCAGTGCATTTTGTCTATACGCGTGTCCTCTCTCTCCCAGCTCCCGTGTAAGATCATGGCTGTATTGCTGCATTTCTTCTTCCTGTGTGCGTTCGCCTGGATGCTGGTGGAAGGGTTGCATCTCTACAGCATGGTGGTCAAAGTGTTTGGGTCAGAGGGCAGCAAGCACTTTTATTACTATGCAATCGGATGGGGTGAGTACAACATCTTGCAGACTGGTTCTGAGCGCTAGGTGTGGAGAATGCAGCAGACCACCACAATCTGGCATACTTTATTGGCATTCTGTAGCATCACTGTGATTCAGACACCAGAATCAGCTTTTTATATACAACGCATTTGAATCTATGCCCAGTTTTAACACTCTTCTCAATCATTTGACCATCGTTTATATTAAATTATTCCACATTTAGGAAAAAATGTACAAATAACTGGAGCTACACGTACACAAAAATCACATACTCTGGTTGGCCTTATAATCGGAAAGCCCTTATATTGAGATTGTTTGGGTGTGTTTTATGCAAATTTCTCTTTTGAAATACAAACCCGATTCCAAAAAAGTTGGGACACTGTACAAATTGTGAATAAAAACAGAATGCAATGATGTGGAAGTTTCAAATTTCAATATTTTATTCAGAATACTCACATACAGGAAGATGTTATCACATACACGAAGATCACGGGCATCCAGTATGGTTTTCCGGCCTTGACCCTTACGCACAGAGATTGTTCCAGATTCTCTGAATCTTTGGATGATATTATGCACTGTAGATGATGATAACTTCAAACTCTTTGCAATTTTTCTCTGAGAAACTCCTTTCTGATATTGCTCCACTATTTTTCGCCGCAGCATTGGGGGAATTGGTGATCCTCTGCCCATCTTGACTTCTGAGAGACACTGCCACTCTGAGAGGCTCTTTTTATACCCAATCATGTTGCCAATTGACCTAATAAGTTGCAAATTGGTCCTCCAGCTGTTGCTTATATGTACATTTAACTTTTCCGGCCTCTTATTGCTACCTGTCCCAACTTTTTTGGAATGTGTAGCTCTCATGAAATCCAAAATGAGCCAATATTTGGCATGACATTTCAAAATGTCTCACTTTCAACATTTGATATGTTATCTATATTCTATTGTGAATAAAATATAAGTTTATGAGATTTGTAAATTATTCCATTCCTTTTTTACTCACAATTTGTAAAGTGTCCCTACTTTTTTGGAATTGGGTTTGTACTCCAAATTCATAGTTATTAGAACAAGGTTATAAACAAATTCATGTGCTTACTCGTTTTACGTGGACATTTTTTGGTTGGAAAAGATTTTTTAATGAGATAAGGTTATTTTTGAATAAGATGCAGGTTTTTGCACTGAAATATCACAGATACAGTGGCCCTTTTTGGTGAATTCATCCCTGTGTATATACACACACATTCATATAAACTACACACTCCATCACACACAGACATGCTTGAACTGACTTACAAAATCGCACATGCTGAGAAGAAAAACATCAGGTCAGTTTCATTTGCCTTAAACGACCCAATTCAGCGTAATGCGCAAACCCAAGAGAGTCAGATGAGGTTGTCCCACGGCAGGCATTAGCGCTGAGAGAGATCAGCCTCCTCCCTCAGCCGTCACTGATGTGGCAGTGTTGTAGAAAAGGGGAGGAAAAGAAGACATTTGTTCATTACAGTCTGTCTGAGATGTCAGTAGATTAAAATACATTAAATCTTAGCCGAGTCTTTAGTGGGTCAACACTAATGATGCCGTCAGTGTTATTAATTGACCTGATCTCAAATGTGCATATGTGATAATAGACATCTTTCACTCTATTGGGAACAGTTTATAATCAGCCTTTTGTTTTTAGTTGTTCACATAAAATGACATTGCCAGAAGGAGGCCTTGAAATAAATCAATATACACTTTTATTAGAACATGTAAAGTTGGCATTATGAAAACGGAAGGTGTTTTCCATTATTACATATGATAAAGTGTTGAATAAATAGACATGCTTATTTGTATCCATAGTGACACTGGTGATAGGCTCAGTGTGTATGAAGAAAACAGGCTTTGTTAGACTGAAGTCATTACTTCAGACTGAAGTCTACTCCCTTTCTAAAAGCCTCTGGCACAGCCAGACTGCTCTTTATTTATGGTGGCATGAAACAACCGGCTACAGTCCAAAAGTTCTTATTTTAGTTCCTACGACATAATCTGAAAACTTCTACGCTAGGTTTTACAACAAGGTATTTTTAGCTCCAATAACGTTCCAGGTTTTTTCCCACAAACATTAGTCTTTTAGCACGTCATTCACATATAACAAAAACATATGGTGAGAGGGAGAGAGGGATTTGACAACACTACTAAGCTATAAACTCTTTGTACTATACAGTATATAGTATATATTGTGAATTATTACAATTTAAAATAGCTGTTTTCTATTTGAATATATTTTCAAATGTAATTTATTCTTGTGATGGCAAAGCTGAATTTTCAGCATCATTGCTCCAGTCTTGAGTGTCACATGATCTTTCAGAAATCATTCTAATGTGCTGATTTGCTGCTCAAGAAACATTTCGTATCATTATCAATGTTGAAAACAAAAAAAATAGAAATCTTTTGTAACAAAGTAAAATCCTGTCACTTTTGATCAATTTAATTATTCGTCCTTGCTGAATAATAGTATTCATTTATTTATTTATTTTGAAAAATGTCAAGTTGTATAAATTAAAAATGTGAAATAGTATATTTAAAAATTGACATGAACATTATTTAATCAATTATAAACCATATGTGATATTTATTAGTGTGTGTATTTGTATATCTGAGTTTCTCACTATTTTTTTTACCAAATTTAGCTTTTTGCAAATCATTAAAATGACCCTGCAGTGTGACAGATGAGTTATTACAATTTTGTAAAATAGTCTGTGTATAATAATTATACATAAATTAGAAAAAAAAGTAGTTTGAAGTATTTTTCAATTAAGTATATCAGGGCACTGCTATCACTGCATGAAATTGTTACTTCTGAAACCTCTCTCTAAAACTGTTCACATCTGTACTCAGGATGTCCTTTTGTCATATGTGTGGTGTCTATGACCTCGTCACTAAACAGCTATGGAGAGGATGGCAAGTAAGTTACCACGACAACACCATGGGCCATGACATGGTAAACAGATGTCCAGTTTGAAGAGAAAAGGTGATTTGTCGCTCTTGTTTTGTCTTTCCTGTATTAGTTGCTGGCTGTCTCTGAAGAATGGGGCGATTTGGGCTTTTGTAGCCCCTGCTCTGTTTGTAATAATGGTAAGCAGCTGTTAATGAGGTGTGTTAAATGCACTACATTAGGTGAGCATGAAAGGAACACTTGTAATGTTGTAATCTCTGCCGTCCAGGTGAACATTGGCATTTTGATAGCTGTGACACGGATCATATCCAGGATCAGCGCTGAGAACTATAAGGTTCACGGAGACGCCAACTCTGTTAAGTGAGTTACTATCATGATTGTAATATCGGCCATCATGCGTTTGCTTTTTTTCATACGCGTGTTTGTCTTTCTAGGCTTACGACTAAAGCAGTGGCGGTACTCTTGCCCATCCTGGGCATATCGTGGATCTTTGGGGTTGTGGCGGTGAACGACCACTCCCTGCTTTTCCAGTACATGTTTGCAGTGTTTAACTCACTACAGGTCAGGCATCACTAGTGTGTCACACAACAATTTCAGCAGCAACCTGATTGATTTTCACACGGTTTACAGCCTCCAGAGTCAATAGCGCCTTCGCCAAACAACGGCAGCTTTAAAAAAATATGGGACATAATTTTTTTGAATGACTTTGGACCTGGACTGACTTGTAAGAACTTTTGCAGATGTGAATTGGAGCGCTTTCACAACATTTAGTGTTATCTGTTGTTTTTCTTTTATTCCTCAAAGGGGTTCTTCATATTCCTGTTTCACTGTCTGTTAAACTCTGAGGTAAGAGTGTGTTTGTGCAGCTGTGTCAGAAGTCTGTGCTGTAGCCGCAGTAAACAGTACACTGCTGTAAATGATAGAGTTAAAGTGTGATCGCCATCTAGTGATGTTAATTTGATACTGCATTACGTGCATGCACTTACAGAGACACTTTCAAACTATTACGATCTCCTTAAAACCAAAGCAAATGTGTCAATCATGATGTTTGTTAACAGATTTCGTGTCTTGTTACTGCTCTACAGGTGAGGGCTGCTTTCAAACACAAAACTAAAGTGTGGACTTTAACCAGCAGCTCAATCCGCAACATCAACGTCAAACCTTTCAACTCAGACATAGTGAGTAATTCCAGTTCTTTTGATTTTTACATTCGTATTGCTCATGACCAGTGAATTAAACACACACTTGTGAAAATGAATGTCATGAATGTGTTTTTAAAGAATTACATAAAATGGACACTTAATTGCACGTTATGCACAATTAAATAAAACACATAATAGCTTAATTATAACAATTTAAGTTTGGATAGTGCACGTCTATGTTCAAAAATGGGGGTGACGCTTAAGGCGTTCAATTTATATTAAATCCAGTTGAATTTAAGACTGTATTTTTGACTCACTGAAGTAGAACTTGAGTTCATCTTTTGTTTTGTAATTTTATAATGACTTCTGTTGTATTTGAAATGTCGATAAAGAGTACTGCCAAATGTACTGACAAGCATTTATGATAAACTAAAATATACTTTAATGTCATTCCTAATAAAACTTGTATCGTGTATTTAAATATATTTGTAATTGCTCATTTGTAATAATGAAGTTGCAATTTAGAACATGTAAAAACTAACTTTAATTATAATATCAAATAACACACTTCCGTACGCTATAATCAAGTACTTTACAAGTGCTTAAGTATGTTAGTCAGCTACTTTTTAAAGCATGACGAAAGATTATGAGTAATATGAGTACTTTAAAGTAAAAGCTTTCATTTTACATTATTACACAGTACACTTTTGTACTTAAGAACTAAAAGTGTACTTAAGTGTGTTAAGAAATATTCATGAAAGTATACTCTAAGTACACTTAAGTGGCCTTTTTCATCATTATTATATTAACTGCAAGTAAAGTTTTTTAAAAATGTTTTTTTATTTTATTTTTTTAAAGATTTGAAGTACACTACAAGTTACAGTTAAGCACACTTCTTTTTCACCGGGGTTTTGGAACCCAAGCCTGTATTAATCTGGTTTTCTTTCACAGATGAACGGCCACAAGGGCGGTGTGACTCCCACAAAGATGAACACATGGGACAAAAGCACCAACTCAGCCAACCGCATAGATTTATCAGCAGTATAATGGCTTCTGGTCCAAAGAGAGCAAGAGGACAGCAGCACAGCATTTCTTGTAGAACATGGGCCTTTCTATATCACATTTTATATGGACTCCAAATGATGAAATGGCTACAAACACTTGCAGCTCATTGTAGAATAGTTAACTCACAACACGGAGCTCTCTGATGCCATTTCCTCCTGCTGATGTTCTCTCTAACACAAACATAGGATGAAGACACACGGCCCATTGTTGGGATGACTTGTTGATCGTTTGCTAATAATGTGGTCTGCTAAGGAATCTGAATTCAAGAAAACACACTAACTCTCACAGACAGGAGACTCTACTGAGATGCAGTACCTGTGCTGTAACTGTTTGCTTGCTTTGATATTTTGAATAACACACTAGACCTGTGCTACATTTGGACCACTGTTTAGCCGTCCTTTAAACAGAGGAATCATCAAGTACAAGTCTGAAGTGTCTCAACTTTAATGAGAACTTTTCTTTGCAACCGGCCTGAGTGAAGTAGCAGCTATTATTAATTTTTGTCCATCTGCGCATCTACTATGGCTTTAAATTAGACCTGGAAGAGAAGTACAATACTGGCGAAAATCTCTGGAGTTCTTCCTCATTATTGTGATGGTTTTCTCTTTTTTAATGTAGTATTGTAAATGGCACTTGTTTTTAACCAAATTATTTGTTAATTTTAATTTTTTTTATTTTTTTACAAGAGGTCAATGAAATATTGATGGTCAACCTCAGAAGGTCATTTATAATATTGCACAACTTTATAATATAAATATGAATGTTACTTTTTTAAAGGGATGCGGATGAGATATGGATAAATAATGTTTTTGGTGATTAACAAGTGACTTCATAAATGATGTTAATAAATACTAATATTAATTATTAAAATAACATGATATGAAACAAACACATTCAATTTTTATACTATAATAAATATGGCTTTATGTCATGTCATTTAAATATTTTTGATGCTGTTGAGAAGGTCAAGACCTCTGAAGTGGGTCAGGCCTACAGACATTTGATGTATTTCATGCTAGATTCATTTCATGTTAGATAATAGCTTATTTAATCATTCCTAGAACAATAAACATGGGTCTTGTGTCTCTTTAAAATAGTACCTGAACACCTAATTATACCCTATTCATGCACAGTGCCAAATAGCTTTTATAATGTCATGATATGTATTAGTATGCGTCATTTCGTAAAGGTAAACACTTTTGTGATGTACATAGCACAGAACTGATGCTAAATGCCTTAAAGCCAGTGTGGGACACACACAGCCATACAGTGTCTGTAAATGTGCCGTCGTAAACATATTTATTGGTACCAAAACAAGTCAGTGTAGTATTAATGTGTGACCATTTATATCTTTAAATTATTGCCGTCGTCATGCTCCAACAAGACTTTGATACTGCTTGAAAGATCTTCTTATACAGTATCACAACACTGTTGTTATCAACATTATATTGTCTTAGTGTTCATGCTCTCTGCCAAGAACAAACTACAGATTTACTTTATATTAGTACCAAAAGTTCAAGAGAGTTGCTCCCAAATGAACATTTAAAGGCCAAGTGCACTTCTTGTCCGATTGTTATTTAATATTTGAAAATGTTTATGCAGTGTCTTTCGATCAAGGTACATTCACTATATTTATGTGTCTTTAACCCATTCATGTGATGTTTTTTTTCTTATGAAAATGCTGACTTTATCAGCAGGAACATGGAGCGATAGTTCACCATAGAAGATTGGACTTATACATTTGTAGACTACACATGCTTCAGAAGTATTAAATAGCTCAGTATGATCTCAGAACACACACACAAATGGCCATAGCAGTGTTCTGAGATTATGCTGTAAAATATAAAGTGCCTTAGTTCTACAAATTCCAGTAAAGAGTGTTGTTCTTAAGTATATAATGTGAGAAATCTTTCTGTGACGTTTTTGATTGATTCTCTTTTCTTGATTTATTCTGTTCTAATGCAAATGAATTTTTCACAGTCCTCTTTTATGCAAAATAAAAGCGTTTAAGTCTAAAATCTGTACTGTGATATGACATACATGAGTTGTACATATTTGTAAGTCCTATATTCCCACGTATCTCTTTTATAAGAGTGTCATTTATAAGAGATCTGGTTATTAATTCTAAGGATAAATCTGCAGAATTGATTTAATAGAAGCAAAATATTTACAAACTGCAGAAATCTATTGCCACAGATTCACTCACTGTTCATTTCAAACATCATTTTCACGATGTGAATCCCTAACAAACCCTCCCCATAATGCGGACTGCTTATTCACCAACAGGACAGGGATATGTGATGGATATTGATGAGGTTATTAAATGTGTTTTCTGTGTTGAACGGGACCCTCTTTGTGAGTCCTTCATTAGGGTTTACTGTGAAGAAGGATTTATATGGACAGTGAGGCATTAAAAACCATACCCATGCTGAATGTCTTCACATGTAAAATAATAACTGACGGCGTTTTCATTGTCTTTGCCATCCATTATATTTTGAATGAAAGTCATTATATGCCCTGTACAGGTCTGTTTTGAATAAAGTTCTCTTTAGACATTGTTTATTGCTGCATTTTTAAGTTTTACCATTTTGTCTTAAAAACATTAACTTTTCCTTCTGATTAAGCTTTGTGAGAATTCAACAATACAAACTCAGCTATAATACAATTAAGCGATTCAGATAGACACGATTTCCAGGGATTTTAGATTTTAAGTGTTTTGTCACAGGTATTCTTTCTGTTTTATGTCTAACAGTCTCTGTCAGCTGAGGAGGGGGATGGTGGATGTGTGTGATAGTGATTTAATCCCATGTAGCCTACATTATATCATTAAAACATTTGGGATGAAGTATTATTATTACAATTTACAATCATATATTTGAAAATTTACATTGTGATGGCAAAGCTGAATTTTCAGCAACATTACTCCTGTCTTCAGTGTCACATGATCCTTCAGAAAGCATTCTAATATTCTGATTTGGTGGTCAAGAAACTTCTTATTTTATCAATGTGCAGCTTAATATTTACAAAACTTACTGACCCCAAACATTTGAACGGTAGTGTATCTAATACGTGTTACAACACCCAGAACTCAACATGGTAAGTGAAGAAAGAAACAGACTGCAGACATGAATGAAGAACAAACAGACAGGCTGGACTGAACATTAGTCTCATTACTGTTTACTACTTTTTTTATTTTTTGCAAAGACAGCACTGGAGAGAATGACACTTGTTTTGCAGGAAGTGTCATCATGGCTCATGTCAGAGGCTAAAACCTCTTACATGCTCGATGTCTCATAGATTTGGCAGATTACAGCGGGACCTGTGACAGGAGTTCAGTTGCGATACAAAAGCAGATTATGCAGATTCATTGATTCCGTTCACTGCATGACTGATGAAGCTCCCAGGCGGCTTTTTCAAATGCAGTGCTGCTTATCAGCTACACGTGTTTTATGGGCAGAAGGGGAGCAGAATATGAATAATCATCCACCAGTGCCATATATCATTAGATTTGGGGTGGAGGTGTTTATATGGCAAACGTTCAGTTTAATATTATGAGTGATAGGCTATAATAACCCATGCAGAGTGCTCACATAATGCTCTTATTCATACAAGGGTGATGCAAACCGTTTGTGACGTCCAAAAGAGAAGACAATGACCAGGACTCCTTCATGTGATTTACTGAAAAACAGCATGGAAAACGGTTCCTGATCCTGAAGTGGATCATTTGGGAATGCCGCCTCTTTTTAATGAACTCCTTATGGACTACATTTTCTGTTACATGGATGGGGAAACAATCCCATCAGTCTAATTCCTTCCAATTCAAAATAAATAAATAAAAACTACATTTCTAACCAGTCATATAGGCTATCTCACAAATCTAAGGATTGTCTGACCTGTCATTTAAATAGGCTTTAGCAACAACACCGATGTCTTAATACATCATTTTATCTTAATAATACATCTGATAGATCATACAACTTTTTTAGTGGCTAGTGCTTGTTCGTCTATCAAGTTCATGTACAATCTATTTAATTATTTTTACATCGCATTTTTATGTACGAGTGTAATACTGCAATTTTATCACAAGAGGGTAATGTTGTCATCTCTAAATTGTCTAAAACTACATCATGAAATGAGGAAACTGCTTCACAGGCAGGTATAACTTGTTGAAAAAAACAGCATATGCTGGATA